ACCGACGAGTTCATGGCAATCTCGGCCCAGGGCAGCAACTCCACCCAATCGTCGTGACTGTGGTTCACGTAATTACGCAAAACCTGAGCCATCACTGCATGCTGTCGCTCAAGAGACCCGTTCGTGTTGGGGTGAAACGACGTTGACGCCCGCTGCCTAATGCCAAGCCCCTTGCAGATGCTGGTCATGTGCTCAGCTAGGAACCGTGAATCACGATCGTGCAGCAGCGTGTTGGGCAGCCCATGGTACGCAAACACGCGATCCATGAGCGCCCTCGTCACCATCGCGCTACTGCTATCCTTGGAAAACGGGATGAGATGCACCTGCTTTGAAAGCAAGCACTGAGCAGTGAGCACCGCGTCGTGCTTGTGCCCACGGTAATCCTTCGACGGCACCAGATCCGTGACCAAGTCAATAGCCACATCCTGCCACACACCAGCAGGCACTTCGATCGATGCGTTCAGGCCAGCTTGCTTGAGATGCGACGGCTTGTTCTGCTGGCAGAGAGTGCAACCAGCCACGTACTTTTCGATGTACTCCATCATGTTGTGCCAAACATGCGTTTGCTTGACACGCAAATTCGTGCGGTGCTTGCCACCATGACCCGCCCCCTTGGCATCGTGGCACTCGGCCACAACCAGTCGACGACAGTCACCTTCCGGGACGTAGATGCGCTTGCTCCCATCTCTCCAAAGGCCATCAGCCAGCGTGAGTCCGAGCAGCTTCTGCAACTTCTGGTCAGGGGGGCTGGTGCCAACTTGTGCGCGGATCTGATCCTCGATCGACACCTCCGCCGCCACCGCCTTCGCTGCGCTTTGACCTGCTCCAGCCGACGTGCTCGCCACTGTGGCTGCGGCCGCGACCGTGCTGTCCAGCTGACCCGGCGTGAACGCCTTGCGAGCGGCTTCGCCTCGCACACTGCCCTCAAAGTTTGGGTTGCGTGACAGGCAGTCTGCCAGAGGCTGCGACACACCAGCCGTGAACACAATCTTGAAATCGCACTGGCTGAGCTCCTCGATCCATCGCGCCATCCGGTAGTTCCTGACCTCCAAGTTCTGGTAGTTCACCAAGTTCTTGTGATCCGACTTGAAAATCACCTTGTGCCTGGATCCCGTCAGCAGATGTCTCCAACGACGCACTGCCCGCACAATCGCCAACAGCTCCTTATCCGTCGTGCTGTAGTTCCGCTCCGCGCTTGACAGACGCTTCGAGTAGTACCCCACCAGTTTGAGACCTTTCATGTCCGACGGATTGCCACCAGGCTTCATGTTGTAGAGCACCGCGCCCGTGCCAATGTCACTCGCATCAGCCTCGCACACAAATACTTCATCACGCCGCGGCAGCCGCAGCACCGGGGTGGACGTCACGACCTTCTTGATCCGTGAGAAAGCTTGCTGGCACTCCTCCGTCCAGACAAACTTGACGTCCTTCTTGAGCAACTGGTCCAGCGGCGCCCGCATGTCAGCAAATCCTTTGATCCAGCCGCTGATGTGCCCCACCGCGCCAATGAACGAGCGCACCTGCTTCCTCGTCTTGGGGACGGGGAAATCCAGCATGGCCTGCACAGCCGACTTCGTCGTCGAAATGCCTTGAGCGCTCAGCACAAAGCCAAGCAGAGGCACTGCCGTTGCAAAGAACTCGCACTTGCTCAGCTTGAGTGGCAGCTGGAACTCGCGCACCCTACGCAGCACCGCGCGGGTGTTCTCGATCAGTTCCTCCTTGTTCTTGCCACCCACGATGATGTCGTCCTGATACGCCGCGACGCCCTTGAGCCCACGCAGCATGGCATCCATCAAACGCTGCATGGCCACGCTTCCGACTTTGATGCCGAAGGGTAGCACCGTCCACTTGAACACGCCACGGTGCGTCCTGAACGCCGTCGCGTTAATGGAGTCCTCGTCTGCAAGCCGAATACAGTTAAAGGCTTTAGAAACGTCGAGCTTGCAAAAGATCGTCATGCCCGCCATCGATTCCATGATATCCTCAACTGTTGGCAGATCGTGGACCTCAGACAGAATCTTCGCGTTGGGGCCCCGGAGATCGAATACCACCCGGTTGATGATTTTCTTCTCCGGTTCTTCTTTCACAAACAGCACCGACGATGGGTTCGTTGCTCCAGGCGCCGGCACTATTTTACCCGTGCGAAGACCATTGTCAATGATCTCATCGAGTGCCGCTCGCTCCTCCTCGTTGTACTTGGTGCGCCGATATGGCGTCTCGACGTCACCGCTCGCGAACCGCAGCTTCACGTCCAGCGGACCGCGTTTGGGAGGGTATTTGTCCGCTGCCGCTGGATCAAACAAGGCTGCGAACTCCCGAAACGCTTCCGGAATGGCCTTCGGATCGAACGGCTGCTGTGGCGATGCCTTTTCCCCAACGAGCAACGCTGCGCTCTCCGCCTCTTGAGCTTTGACACGAATCGGGCCGCTGTCCGTAATCCGCTGCAACACATCCATGCCTATGATCAGGGGCATGATGCATTGCGGCAGGATGTAGACCAGCACCTTGCCACGCCACTTGCCGATCGTCAGCTTGGCCCAGGCCGCGTGCGTAATGTCGCGCGTCGTCGTATCGACCATGCGTACCGTCATCGGCCGCTCCAGCACATGCGGCTCCAAGCCCCACGCCTCAACCGAGGCACTGGCTGCCAGCGTGCGCGTCGACCCCGAGTCGAAAAGCGCTCGGGTCGGTGTGGTCTTGCTAAACTTGCGGCCTATGCACACCGTAGATTGCACTGCATTCTTCTTTGAAAGAATTTTATTGAGTAGTACACGCGAAGGATGCAAATTCGTGTCTACCCTCAGGCTTTTCCCTGGCCGTCCTGGCCATTCTTGGGAGCCTTCTTGGGAGCCTTCTTGGGAGCAGGAGCATCGTCCGAGTCATCAGACTCCTCCTCGGAACTGCCCGCAGCCGCAGCCGCAGTGCCGCCTTTGGAATAGCATGCCTCCGACTTGTGGTTCGTCCTGCCACAGTGCTTGCAGCTCTTGACGTCCTTGTCCTTGCTCTTGCCTGCGTGATGACCGTTCTTGTCTCGATTCGGCTTTTGGACGTGCCTGGGAGCTTGACTACTGGTGCCGGTCTCCGCTCGTACCTTGCTCGGCATGCTTTCGACCAACTCGTTCAATGCATCAATCCACGTCATCTCGGTGGTGTCCTTGCACAGCTCCTTCGCCACATCGCGCACGCCTTTGTCTTCCGCTTGCAGCACAATGAAGCGCCTCACCAAATCATCCGTAAGTTCCGCTTTGGGCACATTCAACAGCATGACCTTCTTGAAGTGCCTCGCAGAAATCTTTGGATCCGCCACCGCTTGGATGATTTCCCTGAGTGCGTTATTCTTGCTGTTCTTGACGCCATACACATTCATAATGTACTCCAGCAGAGCTTCCGCAGTCTCGAACTTGACATGGCTACAGTAACGCCTCGCTGCGACACCCAGATGACCAAGCACAAAGTCGACCTTGTCCTTCTCGGGTGCCGTCACTGACTCAAGCTTGCGTCGGATGTCCGTGACAAAACGTTCCAGATCCAACAGCGTCCCATCGAAGGGTGTCACCTGCATGCCATGTCTCCACAGTTCAGTGCTGGTGGTGGGGCTTGCCGTGGTGGTGGAGGCCGCATGGCTTGATACAGCGATCTCAGCGGTTCCCTTGCGCATCGCCTCCTTGACGACCTCCTGCATTGAGGAAACCATCGCTTGAGTCATCATTCGCATCATCTCTTGCGCGCTCATTGGTTCAGCTGGTGCGCTTGTTGCGCTCGACGTGCCCGCAGTGGGCGCCGTCGTATCGACGCCCTGCTCGTTATTGGGCATTGCTTGATTCTGATTCAATTTCCTGGTTCCTACTCTAGTCGTCACCTTAGACATCAATTACTCGACCCTCGAGACTCGTCGCAGTGTTATGATCAGAGATCCTTCCACGAAGATACGAGTAATGGGTTGATGATGAGAGTGATGATAGGGAAACAAGAGACTTCACTTATACAAAGCGACGAGTGAACACACTCCAAATACAGATACACATCAATCCATAACAGACAAACAGGCGCAAAATCACACATGAAAACTGCTTCATCAAAGTGCAGCCAACTACGAAAATCACCAAGCACGACAGAAACGTATCAAAGTAAACGAAACTATTGCGCATGCTCAATCATGCAGAGATTGTTCGCCCTCAGTTTCGAGCGCATCAAACTGCTGCCTCTGGCTCTGGCTCTGGCTCCGGCGCGAGAGTAGCATCAGACACGCAGAGCTGCGCCTGGCATGCTGCGAGTTCGGCGCGGGTGCTGGCTTGATCCGCGAGGCAATTGTCCAGCTTGGCGCGGAGCAGGACAATCTCAGAGACGTGCTCGATGCAATCGGTCGTATGCTGTGCGTGAAGCGCCAGCGCTGTAGTCAGTGCCTTGGCTTGCTCCTAGAGTCGCACACGCATGCGTGAGTACCCGGCAATCTGCAACCATTTTTCGACTTTGTGCGCCAAAGTTCTCACCTCAAGTTTTTGGCGCAGTCTCGCCAGATCTTGACGCAGTCGCTGTTCCACTTCAGCGCTGCTGGTAGTGGACAATGTAGCCTCTACTTCGTGAGGACGGCGTGGCACAGGTCTGGCGAATGCCGATCCAGGAGGACGCCCTGGTTGGTTGGTGGCTTTGTGCGTCTGTTCCTGAAGGTGGCTCTCAATCGCTTTGCACACGCGCAATTCCTCCGTCAGTGAAGCGATGGCTGTTCTATATGTTGCATGCGACGTGTTGGTCGCCGCCAGCTCGTGTCGCATTTGCTCTGTGTCGGCCAGCGCTTGCTTGACTGCAATGTCCCAATTTCAGCGAGAAAAGTCAAGCCGTTAGCAGCATTTTACACCGCCCTCCATGGAGCGAGGCATACAATCCAATGACACCAGAGTCTATTACGTTGCACTGCTTGCTGCTTGACGGTTTGGGTGGCATCCTCCAGTTTTTCACGCAGAGCCAGAATTTCGTTTGAAGATGCCTGCGACTCGCGTGCTTGCTGTTCCCTCAGGTTGTCCAGCTCGATCATCTGCAAGTGTGGGTGTGTTTGAGCTATTGTAAGGATTGATTTCACACTCTATTCTGTTGCTGGAACTCACCAGGCTGTCAATCTCGTGCGCTTTCGTGAGCATCTGGATCTGTTGTGGTGCATTGTCAGAATTGAGCGCTCAAGTTCAACTTCCTGTTTTCCTCAGAATTCTTACATTGGCCGATGCACACTCTGTCTTGAACGCGTGAAGGGACGCTTGAAGCTGCTTGACAGTGGCGTCGTTGGCGCTCTAAGGTTGACGACAAGTCAGTTTTGAACACACAGAGAACCGGCTCCAGAGGCCTCACCTGCTTGGCATTGGCCTGAGAGCGCAGTCGGTCGTTCTATACAAACAATTTGAATAAGAATTTGAATAAGCGGGGAGCACAAACACGCACCACACAATGACGTTCTTCACACTTACAGCGTCGCGAAGCGTTTGTTCTCGCTGGATTGCCTCTTGACGCTTTCGCTTGAGTTTTTCCACTTTCGCAGTCTGTAAAGACAAGTGGTGTAATTGTCAGCTGCATCCTTTTGCATTTTCCACAGCAGTATCGCTTCCATGATTGACAGACCAATGTGGACAGCAGCGTTTCTCGCTCTTCACGCATCGTTTCCAGCATGACACTCGATCGCTCTTGCTCCAGCTGTATGGTCGCCAACAGTGCCAAAGAATTCCATCACAGTTTCAAGATTGCAGACACACCGGATGGAACGTTCGCAGTGGTGAGCAAAAATTGGCGCCAAAAATCCAATCGCCAAAAAAACCGCGAAATCCGAATCATCCAAGTTGAACGCCAATGTTTCAATCGGTTGAACGCCTACTCCCTACCGCCTCGAGTCGCAACCGCCCGCGCATCTGACAAGGGTGGACTCGCATGAGCAACACGAGAGCAGTTGCAGGAGCAGTCCAGAGAGCGACTGGGACCCGTGTTACCTGACCGAGCGTCACATCCACGCCCGACCAGAGAAAGAGCTGCTTCTGGTGGCCCTGCGCCTCTGGCTTGGAGTGGATCGACACGCTCAACAGCGCCGGCGCACCATCTCCGTCGAGATTTGAGGCTGCGGGCATGAGGGACGACGCTGGCGTGCTTGTGGGGTTCGTTCCGGATCGGGCGGGGAAAGCGCTTCCCTGGGCTTTGAGTGTCGAAGAGTTCATCGGCTGCAGCGTCGATGCAGCGGCGGATGACGACGGCTTGACTTGCGTCGAGAAGCTGGCGTTTGGGCGAGCTTGGCTAAACATGAGCGGATTGGGGAATTGAATTGGGAAACCGAGGCAAGTCGAGCGGCGGAGAACGAAAGGAGAAGACGAAGAGAAAGCAAAGACTGAACGCTTGCTCTCAATTTTGAATGAAGAAAAAATCAATCTATTTGACATTGGAAGTGTACACAAAACCTGTTGAGGCAATTCTCGCGTCTTTGCGTCCAGGTTGAAAAAAAAAAAAAAAGAACAACAAAACAAATCACGGCTTGGCAAGGATGGACTGCGCACACGTGTCGCACACGCGCACGGTCTTGGTGGTTGAGCCTGGTCGACTCATTGGTAAATAATTGTCGGCACAACGTGCGCAAAACACGCCACCGCAGCTGCGACAATGATGCTATGTTTCAATCGCAATCAAAAAGAAGGACGCGAAAACAAGTCAGCAAGAATCCCCTGCACTCACCTCACCACACACACTCGAAAACGACATACCTTGCGCCGCTGGAAGGAAAATCCTCGATCACACAGGGCGCACTCTTTCGCGTCGCTGTCAGACACCCAATCGGTCTTCGAAACCGTTGATACGCTTGGACGATAGGACTCTTGACCAGCATACGCATTTGCTGAGCGCGCAGCCACAAGTTGTGGGGTCGTGGTGAGGGTTGACGTGGTGGACAGAATGGATTCCGAACGCTTTTGCGAGTACGGCCCTCCCACCTGCCGCGAGTAGATGGAGGCATCGTCGCCGTCGGATTCTCGAGTCCGGCTTGCTTGCTGGTAGAGCCGTTGATTCAACTCGAGCAGATCTTGGTTCATTTGAGCGAGTTGAATCAACTTGCGTTCCTGCTGAGCAATCACGGCTGCGTCTCCAGTTCCGTCCTGTGCCGATGCTTGTCGTCGGTGGGAGGTCGTGCTTCCTGGCCTGGGTCCAGTCACTATGATGGAGGAATTGTTTGACGACGAGATTGACGAATCGTTGTCTGTTCGGCCCGACAGAATGCTGGACAGGCTCGACGAGGAGCTCGACTGGCTCATTCCCTTCCCAGGATGCAGGAGTGCTGCTTCCGCATTTTCACGCTCAATGGCTGCTTGGGCAATGGAACCTTTGAGGGCGTCACACTCTTGTTGCAGCGACAGCACTGATTCTCGATAGTGGGAGAGTTGCTGGCGGAGATTTGCATTCTCATCCGCCAGCGCGCGAATCTCCACCTGCTGTTCGTCGACTTTTGCGTGCAGCGCACTGAGAGACACAGACACAGAGAACAAAAGAAACACAAGCCAGACGTCAGCACATCATCATCGTCCTCTAGGCTTCACGCCTTAAACCACCCGCTCGGCTTACGTATTTTCACCCTGAAGCTCGTCCTTCCGTCTGGTCATTGCAAGGACGGCCAGTTTCAACTCTGACGCGCTCATCCCGGTGCCGGTTGAGGCAGTGGCTGGTGGTGCTGAGGGAATGGAGGACATGGTCATGGGCATTGTGCGCGCGGTCGGGAACGTAGTCGGTGAGAGAATGGTTGGCGACGAGGCAACAGTCGTGAGCACGGAAGCCGAAAAGGCTGCCGGTGTTGGCGCTGCAGCATTCGGCGGACGGGCAGTCGCTTCCAACGAAGCGGCAAGCGGCTGTCCAGGGGAGGGCGAAGGGGATGTCGTAGCACGAGAAGCTCCAGAGGTGGATGTAGGAAAGTTCACAGAAGAAAAAGTAGGTGCCGAGCTTGGGGGCGCAGGTGCAGGTGCAGGTGTAGGGGAGGAGGCTTTCGTTGCAGCGGATCCAGATCCTGCCGGCTGGGACTGGCCTCCAACCCACTTCGCAGAGGAAGCAAGCAGCCTGGCATGATAGTCGTCCTCCAACGAAACTGGCGCTGCTACAGGGGTGGGCTTGGCCTCGCTGGTGGCAGGAGTCGCGACTGGATGTTCAGACGACACCAAAGAAGGCACGGTAGCAGACGCTGCGCGCGAATGCCCCTTTTGAAATCCTGCGTGTTGATCAGCAGGAGGCGCTTTTGGAGCGAGGTGTGCAAACGCCCTTTCGAGAGTGTCCGCCTCCGTTACGCTATCTTGCCTCGGTTTGGTTGGTCGTAGTGTGGTGGCTGGAAGTTCTGTCAACTCTCCGTCCGAGTCAGTGTCGGTCAAGACCGCCGCTCCAGATACGTCCACCTTGAGAGCAGTCATTCCTGGATGTGCTGCCAGTGTCGTTTCTGGCGGCGCGGCGCTTTCCACAGTATCAATGACACGCTTCTTTTTCGCCTTCTTTTTTGGCTTGGCCGCTTTTTGCAGCAACACCAAGAACACGGGTGAGGCTATAGCAGCGAGCGCGTCTCCAAACAACAACAAAACAGACTCACCTGCGTTCGCGTCAACCATGTAGACAGCCGCGGGCACGACAGCAGGGACATCCGGACCGGATGCAGTCGACGATGCATTCGAGACCGCAATCGCATTTGTCCTTGATTGCTCAACAACAGCTGCAAAAAGGAAATTGGGGATTCCAGTGTTAGATCAGACCCGAGCCCCGCACAGACTCGATACAGCAACTGAAACAAGCCTTACTCGTCGTGTCATTGTTGAGCTGCAGGTCGTCTGCTTGCAGCGCAAACACAACCGAGTTCAACCCGACGAGCAGATTCTTGACAATCCCAACGCGCTCTTCGTCCGCGAGGAAGGCATAGTCTTCATAGTGTTGTCTGGACCCAAGAGCATATGGTAAGTCGAGTTTCCAAACCCCCCCCCCCAATGTGAGCAACTTCAGAAAGCCAAAGCAGTAGAAACAAAAAAAACCTATCACACTCGGGTCTCACATGGTCAGACGCTGGTTTCGGGCAAAGATGCCAAAGTACTTGTCCAGCATGTGCTCGTTGAGAGCGATGCGCAACCACGCGCGTGCACGACCAATGTCTGTCGTGATGTTTGGCAACTTTGAGCATCGCTCGAGTTCGCGCGGATCGAGGCAAGCTCGAAGGTACAGCCACCATCCACCCTGTCAAAGACAATCCAAGTCACACAACAAATCAGCATCATGATCATGCTCATCAATCACACAAAGTCACCCGATTTCGCGTCGCTCAAATAGCATTGAAGGCGACGGTGACCGAGTCGAGTCCGCGATTCCGACCCCTCCCCCACTTACCTCGTTCGCCTCGGGCTTGACGATGGCAAGTGGCAGCAGTCTGAGCGTGGATTCAACGAGCTTCTTGTTGGACGATCGCCGCAGTCCGTGAGCAAAGATGGCCTCGAGAGCGGCACAGAGCAGCGAGACTTGGGACTCTTGGCCAGTCGAGATCTCCGTCTTGCCTGCAAACCGCACCTGCACCTGCTTCAATGCATCCGAGGTGCGCTGAAGCAGCTGCCGGCGCTCGCGGCTCCGGGGATCGGCGTCGTCCGCGGACAGCGGCTGCGATGGTGGCTGGGACGGCAGCGTCGAGCTCTGTGCCCCAGTGCTGCTGCTGCTGCTGCTGCTGCTGCTACTCGGCACAGCACTCCCAATGATGGGAGAAGTGCTACTCGGCTTGAACGAGGTCGTGGAGCTGGCTGGCAGTCCTCCAACGCCGCTCATTTCCCCCCAAAATGACACAAAAAAAAAAAAAAAAAAAAAAGACTGAGACTTTTTCAAACACAATTGAACTCAATTCGTAAAAGTACAAAATTACAATCTGCAACCAGACCCTGGAAAACTTTGATCATCGCGGATGTCGGAACGTCAGAGGCCAGGTGAAGCAATGTGAAGGAGCGCGCAGACACGATCGCGACTTGACTTGGCTTCGTCGATGGATCCGTCCCAAAGCGCCTCGCTGAGCACGTCAGAGGCAGCTGCGACATCATCCTCGGGCAATCCGTCACTGTACGTCATGAGTGCTACAAATAGCTGATCTGCAGCCGCCTTTCGCACTTTCGGGAAGCGGTGAGCGAGGTTGCTGCCCAATTGCACCAGCGCCTTCTCTCGAATTCCGCCGCTAGAAAACTGCATCATTCCACAAAAGCTACGTCCCATCCAGGAAAAGAACAAGAGAAGTAAGCAGAGAGACGACGAGTCACTTTTCGACTCCAGCACATCATCATCGTTTTTCCTTTGCACTCACACGTTGATGCCAATAAAGAGCTTGGACGGGTCCGCACATCGAGCCAGTTCTTCAACGCATCCCTCAAACAAGCTCGGTACCAAGGAGTCCGATCTAATAAAGTCATTCCGAGGAAAGCCGTCATGCAATGAGGTTATCGACTGCTCCGACGTTTCATCCACCACGAAAAAAAAAAAATTCAACTTACCCGCCCTTCTCCAGCAACAAGGCCAAAGTACCATCGTTCAACAGAATATCAAGAGCTTTGAGAATTGGAATCGACACTCGATCAACCTTGCGATACGTTCGGAAGACATCGACCAGAGCGGTGGCCAATTGCTGACAGTGTTCTGGTTGCCGAATGTCGCGAACCAGCTGCACGAGCGCAAGGTGGGAGAAGCGAACCTGCCGAAATTGAACCACACAGAACACACAAATACCAATCAAACGCCCATCAAAGGTCAGCTTCCCGTTCGTCTGTCTACAGGTGCAAGCGAAATTGTGAAAGGAAAACCAACAAGAGATTCGGTCAGCCCTCCAATGCTGATTAACAAGCCACACAGGGCATCGTGACGGTATGCCTCCATGTGTAAGAAATGGACCGCCACAGGAAAGCATGATGCAGGAGACAGCCACTGGATGTCGGAACTGGACACATGCAAAGCGCAAGCAATAAAAACAACAACAAAAAAGAAAAATAAAAAGTCAGATCAATTGACATCGGCCGCAGCACACACCACAAACAAAAGTCAACGTGAGGAACATCCGAGTACTCACGACAATGGGAGCAGCTGTTGGATCTCGGTCGCGTGCAACAAGTCACTCGAAACGCGTGCCAAGCTTGCAAGGCGACTGAGCGTCTGCCCTGCTTGGTCTCTGGTCCTCTCAATCTTTTCCAATGACATCCGAACGAGTGACCGAGCAAACATAGTAGCAACGCTTGCTTTGTCGGATGGAGTGAAATGTGAAAGTAATCCGACCGCCGCCGGATTCTCAGCCGTCTCGTTGTAAAAGCGCGAGAAAATATTGCCAAGTGCCGCAATGCATGCCTCACGCACCAAAGAGCCAATGTCTCCGCGGTTGTCAATGGTATAATCGAGCAGGCCAGTGAGGAGAGCGTCGAGGGTCTCGGGCAGAAACCGATTCAGAGCGGAGGTCGCGGCCAACGTGAAGTTGGACGAATCAAGTTGTTCGTGGAGGGCTAAAGTCAGGCTGGCGAGCGATGTTGCAGCGCATTTGCGGGCGCCAGCAGTGACGGCATGAGGGCCGTCGCGAGTGCGCACCATCCGCGCGAGCGATGCAAACAATCGGGTCAGCGCTGCCGGAGCCGAGGCCGTCTCGGCCGATGTATACTGCGGCAGCAATCGCTGAACTGGCAATCGCCCTAATGCTTGGATGATACCTTCTCGCGGGGTGGCGGCGGCAGTAGACGTGGGGTCGCACGCCGCAAGGTAGCGATCCACCAATGCAAGGAGCTCCGCATCCTCTGTTTGCAGATGGAATGCCATGCTGTAGAAGGCGTCAACCGCTTCCGAGTAATCTTCGACGTCTCGGAACAAACGACGGTCGACAATCCGCTGCCAGGCCGCAAAGTCGATTCCTGGCGTCGATTCCGCCCGGTGAGCACGGACACCCTCCGCCACTCCGGCGATGCACAATCGGTGAATGAGGACGCAAATGCCAGTTATGAGCAACTCTCCCGTGGCACCCTTCAAGAGTGGAGCATTGGCTTCGAACGTCTGGGGAAGCAGGGCAATCTCCAACGCCGTCGACGACGGCACCTGCAGCGCCGCCGTTTTCCAAAATTGAGGTGTGTCCACAAACTTGGCGACATCGTCCGACCACCCACCGCTGCTTGGCTGCTCCTTGAGCTTTGAGCGCTCCGCTGCAAGCGACTGGACAATGGAGAGCCCGTGGACGATACATCCCAGTCCCAGCAAGGCGCCGTGCCGTGTAACCGTATCCACCGCGGCAGTGCTAGAGAGTAGCATTTCGACGGGAGATTGGGCCTGCTTGGCGGCAGTGCTGGGCTCCACCATGCAAGCTGGATGGACAAACGTGAGCCGATGCAAGGCAGCAGCCGCGAGCTGTCGCATGCTGGCATCCCAGTGTTTGCACGTGTATCGCACGAGGTGCTTGACCATAGCCGTGGCATACTGCCGAGGGTGAATGGCTGCGATGGCGGGTGCCACCTCGAGCATGGCATGTCGGATGTTGCCGACAGCGATATAGTCGGCAAGCACGATAATGTCAATGCCATTGGGGACGCTGCCCTTTTGGCGTCCCACCAGTTCTTGCAAAGAAGCGGATGCCGCTCTTCGACAATTCACCTCGCGGTCAAACACCGCTTGAACCACGAGCGCTGTTGTGAGCGCAGGGAGGAAGGGCAGCAGCGTCTCTGGTGTGTACGCACGCGCAAACGACCAACACGCATAGCAAGCCGCATCACGCACATTGCTACCGACGCTCGTAGCACCCCGACGGACATCATAGGTGACACAGTTGAGGACAATTGGAACAACATCCGCGAGTCGGGCAGGCAAGATGAGACCATGGCGTGACAATTCTGCTACAGCCAAGCAGCTGCCATGCCACGCATGTTCCAGCTCAGACGGTGAAGCAAGCGCAATCACTGCGTCCACCACTTGGTCTGCCATGAACAGGGGCAGTCGGGCGGTAATGCGGCCAATGCCTTTTGCTGCAGACCAGCGGACGATCGTGTCCTTGTTGCGCAATCCTCCCAGCATGTGCTCGATGGCACTTTCGACAACAGCAGGATCTGTGTCGTGATCGAGGAAGCTGTCGTCTTCTTTTTCTTGTTCTTCTGCTTCTTGGTTTGCGGGGTGGGGTTCCGTGGAGTTGGATTGTGTTTCGGCACTTCCAGCAAGGTTTCCAGTGAGGCTTCGCGCACCACGTTGGTACCTGAATAATTTGCAAATCAATCAGAAAATGAGTGTGTCATTGAAACGATCTTGAAAGAATGAGTGGAGGCACGTCGAGCGATAGTGGAAGCGCGAAAACCATTCGCACATACCTCCATGCCGCCAAGCGAGGCTTGAGTTGCGCCAACGCCAATCTCTGAGACAGTTTGATACAAAGCTTGATGACCAGGGCGTTGGTGCTGGTTGTGAGCTGCTGGCTGGTTTCTAGCGCAGCCATGACTTTTGGAGCGGCGTGGGCCAAATCGGCCCGCCGTGCAGCTTGGAACAGGCTTGTGAGCAGCGCAAGCACGCCAATGAGCTTGTAGACGTGGGACATGGAGGCACCTGCAGTCGCAGAGCTTGACAAGTCCCTGATAGCCACTTCCAGCACACCACCAAGCTGCTTTTCACACAGGTCGGGTCGTGTCAGCAACCTAAGCACACGCGACGCGGAAAGCACGTAAGAACACACTGGGAAAAAGGGGCTGACAGCAACAACGACCTTGCTCCTCGAAGGGCACAAGGCGAGGTGAAGGAAATCGTCTGATTCGACAAAGGAAAGGCAAAACCACGATACGCGACTAACCGTGAAAGCACCAACGCTGCAGCCTCACTGGGCTTGCCACCCTGCGGGAGCCGCGCCATGCACACTGCTACCAAATCGTCTGCCGCTTGAGCGTCAATGATTGCCAGGCTGAACGGAATCGCGGCCAAAACCCACAGCCAAAGCAGCAGGACGTATGTCGTCTCCCACGGCTCGCGAGCACTGCCAACGCGATTGCTTGTGCTCCAGCGCATGTATGTCATCGCTTCATGCAAATCTGCAACTCCGTTTGGGAAGAGATTGGTGATGGTCTTGAATCCGCGCACTTTGCAGAGCGCGTACAGCAACCGAGCGGCAGCATCGAGTCTCGCCACGTCCGCCGCAACATTTCCCTGCAAGGTCGATGGCTGCCCTGCAACTGCACTCGTACCAATGCGGTGCATGGCAGTCCGCAGCGCGCCCATGAGCGGCGACACGAGCATTCGCAGATGGCGGTCGAGCAGTTGCGGCAACTCTTGGTACCGCTGCAGCACATCTGTTTATTCAAATAGTAGACAAGCCATCAAGATCAAGAATGAGTGTCTGAGTTTTTAGGTGTTGTTTGTTTTTGGCGGGAAGCTGCTCAGAAGCTTTTCCACCTACCTGCGATACGTTCGCATGCACGCGTCAGCTTGTGGAGCTCCTCCTCCTCCTCCTCAGCAGGGTTGGTCGCAGGCGCAGTGGCTTGGGACGGCTGCTCGATGGCCGCGCAGACCACGGCGACCAGCGCTGCCACTTCGCTGTGCTCCGCAAAGTGCTGCGGCTGGCATTGGTCTTGATCGTCAATGGTCTGCATTACAAACGGGTGGACGAAAGTAAGACTGCGCTTCTTCCTGTCCTAGTTTGATAGTGATGTTTACAACATGGCATGCTTTGATTCTTGATCACCAAGAGAGAGAGAGAGAGAGAGAGAACGAGAGCGAGGTCCCATTCTCTGAGATTTGAGCGAGCGCTCAGAGGTCAAGCGCGATCAAACCGAGTCCTCCTCGTGCGTTTTTGTGCTCTTTCTATTTCCTTTGACCTTGATAACGATTTGTGTTGTATGAAGGGCGCAAATGACGGCTGCAAATGACCTCAGTCAGTCATTTCCATTGCTTTGACCATTCCAGCTTGACATTTTCAACAAACCACCTCCAAAATCGACCCAAAGCAAGAAAAACAGCTGGACAAATACTCTCAAGATGGATGACGATATGCCACGGCGATTGCAGCCGGAAGCGATTGCAAGGCGACGCGCACTCGGGTAAGGAAAGCAAGGGTGAATCCAACAAGCCGAACAGCGAGCCTGGCTCCAATCCTCAGCCACCACCACCACCACCACCACCACCACCCACTTTCACACTGTGATTGCACGCCGAGACACACTGGCCGGGCGACGGCTCCTCAGCGGCGCGCGCTAGCGAAGTAAAAAAAAAACCATCAAAGTCAAAGCGACTTTTTGAATTTTTCCCGCCAAAAATCTCACCCTTGCGTTTCGCTCGCTTTGCGTCGTCGTGCGTCCGCTTGCTTGTTGGGACTGCTGACAGAACACGTCAAACGACGCTTCGGTCGAATACAATCACTGCGCCGTTGCCGAGAGCGCCACCGCGGCCATCGCCGGTTCCCGCCATCCAGCATTCGCAGGCAATGCTGCGCCAAGCGCGCCAGAGTCCCATCCCAGCGCACCTACAGCCGTCACCGCGCTCGTCTGGGACGGGAGGAGTGCCCTCGAGCGGTTCATCGCCCGCAGCGTCGGCAGCTGCCGCTTCGTCTCCGTTGCGATCTTCGTCCCAAACAAGCGCAAACTCAGCTGCTCACTCCCGCACACCTGCCGCCACATCGAGTGTTGGCGCTTCTGCTTCTCACAGTCATGTAATGGTTTTTTTTCGCTTTATTCCGCGGGGGGGGGGTGTCGAGTGGTGGTGGTGGTGCTCGATTTTTGACAATCGTTCCTGCAACATACTCACTTCTTGGTAATCCCACTCTCCACTTTGGTAATAGGCGGCCAGCGTGAAGAGCAAGCAGCCGTCAACACACACTCCAGCAGTTCGGCGATCTCAAGTCGAATCCGACGATGGTGGTGACGACAATGACGAAGATTTGCCGCCAGCCTTACCACCGCGAACGCAGGGCTCGAGCACATTTGCGAAGCCTCTGCCAGTGGTGAAGCGACCACGATTGGAATCGCCAGCCACTGGGGACCCGGACCAGCCGTCCACGTCAAAACCAACACAGCATTCTGTCTCTGCAACAGCAAGTCGATCGAGTCGCACCGAGGACACCGCCGCGAGCCGGCAATCCGCCAAATCAGCTCCCACCACAAAGGGGCAAAAGCGCCCTGCACCAAGCGATGAAGATGTTGCGTCCGGCGAAAGCGAGGACGAGCCTGAAGACGCGCCCAGACGCCGACAAACTGCCAGCTCGCAGCACTCGCAGCGCCGCTCGCATTCGCGTGTGGATGCCGAGTCGGCGGATGAAGATTGGAATGAACCACACAAGGACACGTCTCAGAGCGGCAAGTTAGGCTACACGACCGTTCACGCCGATCGCTATCTGATTTATCTGCGAAGTCCGAACGAAACCGAACGTTCCCAAGCCTCGATAACCTACCTCGATGTTAGCTTGCATGAAATCGACAAGCTATTGCAGCATGCCATGTAAGCTCGCTCGCCACGTGTTCACTGGGTCGCAAGGGCGAGAGCGTCTTCTATTTTTCGGTTGCTCATACAAAAGACACTTGGTTGGTTGACACTCTTCTCCAGAAATACGTACGACCGGTCGTCGACACAAGGGCTGACGGCGAAGGCCGCGATTGCTCGTTTCCGCGACGAATTCCGAAGCATCATGACGGACCAGGTTTGAAAATACAGAAAAAACAAAACAGGAAGGAATGAAATCGTTGTTTTCCCTTTGCTAACGACTTCAACCGTGCTCGATCTCGTACTTTCGGCGCGTATCATTGACACGTTAGATTGCCGTGACCGAGCAGTGCGGTCAAGTGCGTAGCTTGGTGCGTGATGGAAACATCTCGCGCAACAAGCGTCGAGAGCAGATGCTCAATCTCACCTCGCTCCGAAACGAACAAGAAGGCTTGCTGGCAGACCTGAAAGGTCGAATGGAAGCTGAATCAAAGCGCCGAGATGTGAGTGCACCCTTTCGCAAAAGGGGTTTGTGTGAATGAGATTCGCAATTTTGCGGCCGACCTGATGATTTTCTCACCTTTATTGATTTCGGTTCAGGCCCTCGACGTGTCCAACATTCTATTGCGACGGTTGGCAGAGGCTCGCTCAAATCTTGCAGACCACCGTACCGCCAGTCTCTAACGATGCAGCCTGCAACTGTGCAACGTTGCTGGCAATCCTGGACCAGATTCGGGCGAATTTCTAACACTTTGTCCGTGTCTGCGACTGCCTCTCGGTCCGGATTAAATTTCCGCGAAAGAGCTTTGGCGCTACACTCAACTGCTTTCTGACGTGTCATGTGCACAAATGATCCTTGTAAATTGTTTGTACTGAATTGAGTTTCTGACGCTGCTGTTAGAAAATGTATGCATGCATACAGCCTTCTTTATTGTTTTCTTTTCTCGACAAACATGATACTGCTAGAGGCACACGACCAGATTCACAGCTTTGCAACACGGCACGACAGAACTAGCGCGAATTCGTGCTTCAGGAGAAGAAAGCGCACAACACCTGTACAGATCCACAGATTCATATCAACTCCACCACCAGCAGCAGCAACAACAACACTAGTAGCAACAGCAGCAACATCAGCAGCAGCAGCAACATCAGCAGCAGCAACAACAACAACAACAACATCAACAACATCAACTCTACAAATGGATGTCGCCCCGCCAGCTTTGCGGGAGGTTTTACGCTCGACCGAACGTGTCTTCATCGGAACACGACATCACAGTGACGCACGCGTAAGGGCAGTCCAGACAGCCACTGGCGTAATTGACAGTGGAAGCACCCGTCGTGATAAAGGGACTCATGTTGTCCATCCACCACGTGAAGGCCATGTACTCGCTCGAGTTGCCGCTCAGTGCTGGCACAATCACATTGTCCTTGATGTACACGCCGTCAAGGGCAACCGGATACAGGGAATTGTCCTTTTCGATCTCATTCCACGGAAGCTGTTCAGTTGTGCTCGGGTAGCTGGGCACATTGCCGAACTGAATGAACTGAAACTGGCGCAAGTCGTTCTGGTCGTCCACACCAAAGTCGCACTTGCCCTTGTACGTTCCCATTGCGTGGGCGACCACAGAGTTGTTGACATAGGGGAAGATGGTCAGAACGTCCTTGCAATGCCATTGGTCATCGGAGTGGGGCTCCGAATCGTGAGGCAACGTGTGGCGAGTGCGAAAGACAATGCCTGAGGCTCGGGCTTGGTCGAACGAGTAAGAGTGATCATCTCCTTCCTTCCACCAGTAGCCGCTGCCAATGCTCGCAAAGTAGTCCACGGTGCCAGAGTTGTCTCTGATGTTCATCTGGATGCTGTTCAAATTTCCGACAGAATTGGACAGGTAATCTCCCGAACCCCACTGGATGGTCAAGCGAGATTCGCCGGGACTCGGCTGCTGACCAGCGCCCGGATAGATTGACAAGAAAGTCCTCAGCTCGCTTTCAGCACTGCCGGTTTTGGCTTGAATGGTAGTGCCCGTCTGGTTTTCGAGGAGGAGCACAGTGTTGGCGACGTCCATGACGGCCACCGTGCACGGCGTGCCAACAACGGTGAGTTTCTCTTGCGCGTAACTCATCCTTGGAACACGAGCAACGGGAACGAATTCAATAGAACAAGAACAACAACGGAAAAGAAAAAAAAAGAAGACTGGATTGCAATTCTTCCCATTCTGGGCTTAATATAGGGGGCTGAAAGTGACGCCCGTACTCACGCTTGACGGAACATTGACTGTTTTGTTTTTTCCTCAAAGCCCTGTCTGAATGGGAAGCAAGGACGAGGTTCGTATCAATATGGAATTATAGTACATTACAAAGCAGGTTGCAGGGGAAGAGGGGGGGGGGCGCCAAGGGCTCAGGTGCCAGTGTTGAGTTTCACTTTTGAGTTGAACGCTTAGCGTGGAATTCATTGATTTTTCTTTTTTTACGTTTTGCGCGAATGAAACTAACAATGTTTTTGTTTTGTTTTCCGATGGAAACATGATTCTAAAACACGCCCTGGCTAATCACATTAACGACATGCTCGAAGGACTGGGCAAGCTTGAGGCCATAAATAAGCTGCTCACTGTGTCTGTGTTGTGAGCGAAGGGGGGAATGTGCGAGCCGGTAACGGTTGGTTGACCGGTAGGCGTTTCTGGTTGGGTGTGCTGCTGCAGCAGTCTGCTTGAAGCGTTCGACAGAGCAAAGGCCACCCCGAGTCGCCGAGCAACCTCGACCAGATAATCTCGATGTCCCGCAAACAACGCGCACAACCCATGAACCATGTCAGGGTCGAGCGCGCCGGCAGCGAGACTCGTGCTACGTGCTTCACTGCTGGATGCTGGTTTAGGCTGCGCCGACAAAGAATTGTGACTGGGTACAAAGCGTTGCTCGAGGTCGGACCAGCCTTGCGTGGCTCTGCGCAACGAGTCAGTCCACCAGCAAACAAAAACAAAAACAATGTCAATCCGAAGCAAGAGTAAGAACTAGCCAACAAGACAAAAGCAAAAAGTAACAAAATGCATTGAGTTGCGTTTGGGGCGAATCTTTACATGATGGAAATGTTCGACTCCGACGACAAACCTTGCATTCTTCTTCGGGGAGGCGCAATCAGCTCTGCCAGGAACATTTTGTCACGCTTGTCGAGGCCCCGCACCAGGTGTTTGAGCATGGACAGTCGGGGCTTGCTCCCAGCAGGAAACTCAAGCGCGGCGCTGACAAAGGCCGACCGTTTGCGACCAAAGCCAGGGATGTCACACAAGCGCTGCTTGGTGGCGATGGCGGCCAATCGAGATGCCACTGGGCCAACGGACGTAGAGGAACAAGTAGATGAGGAAGAAATCGACGAGCGGTGCTTGGAGAACGCTTTGGTTGCAGCATCAGCGAGGTGGTTTTGACCACTGTCATCGTCCTCGTCCTCATCCTCATCGGAATCATCTTCAGCATCCTCAGCATCTTCTTCTTGCTCGTCATCGTCGTCGTTGTCGTCGTTGTCGTCGTCGTCGTCATCTTGCGCCGCCTCTTCGTCGTAGTCGTACAGCTCGTTGTCGTTCCGAGCACTGTTCGTCAGCGTGCCGTACTGCGAAAATTGGCCGAAATCCGAGTCTGGGTGGTCGGCAAATTTGGCAAACTCCTCCAAATCGTCGTCATCAAACTCGTCCGCACCAGCAGGCGCGGCAACAGACGAGGCAGAGGAGCCTTGTGCGACGCAGCCAGCCATCGCGCTTCCAAAGGCATGCGACGGTGTTGTTTGGACTGGAGCGCTGGAAAGTCGTTCTGGCAGTGAGGATGGATCTGATGGTAGCAAGGCAGCACCTTGGGCAGCACCTTGGGCATCGCCAGCCATCAGGTGGGTGGGATTGTCACTGGCGCCGCTCTGGGGCTGGCTATGAGGCTCTGGGTGTGTGCCGAGATGCCGCAGCTTGGCATCTTTGAGTCGTCGGTTGCGAAACCAGTTTCGTACCTCTGTGTGCAGCAAACCCGTGTCGTTGCAGAGAGCAATCACCTGGTACTTGCGCGGCTTTGGAAACTCTCGAAAGAAGGCTTCTAGGACTCTGACTTGCTCGGACGACTTTTTCAAGCGAAAGCTGCGCATTGCAGTGTCGACAGCCCCTGGACGCGAATGTCGATGCGCAGCAGCGGGCGGCGTCAGCGCCAGATCGCGGGCAGCATGTCGCTTGGCACGCATGCTTGCTTTGCTGGGATTGTGTATCCGTGTTGGAGCTGAATTTTTCGCAGCCCACGGCAATCCTGGCAAACGGCTCGCGTCCATGATTGACAGCAAGGGTGCCTCTGACAGTAGTAGCGGCGTTTGGACGGAGGTGGTGGCCTGAGCGTTTTGTGCCGCTTGCACGGGCGGCGGCAGTGTAACTAATTGCCTTGGTTGCTGAGCCATTGCACCGGATCCGGTTGCCAAGTACGAGAAGAGCGGTGATTCCACCACCACCGGCGGCGGCGGCGGCGGCGGAGGGACGGAGTGTCGACGATCGGCGGTTTGGGTTGCAGCTCGCGTCGACCCCGAGCCAACGGGAATATTCGCAGTCGTCGGAGTCGTTGTAGTAGTGGTCGTCGTCAGAGAATGGGTAGCATGCGTGGCAGTCGTGGTAGTACCAGCGGCAGAGGCAGATGCAGCAGCAGCGCGCAGGGCGGCCACAACAGCGGCGTGGGAGAGCGGCAACCCCTGCGGAACAGCGGCAGCGGCGGCGAGATTGTAGGCGAGCCAGGGCCCGAGCGTGCCGGCCGCAGCAGTGCCCAGCAGTGGATGTGCCAGTGCACTACCATCGCTGCTGCTGTGACAATCTACTGCTGCTGCTGCTGTTGCTGCTGCAACGGCGGTCGTCGCGGTCGTCGCGGTCGTCGCGGTCATGCGAGGAACGAGATTGGCGTGATTGGCGGGTTGCTCCCTGCCACTGATTCCGTCTCTGCTGCCGTTCCATCCAGCGGTCCCCTCCTGCAGGGGCATTTGCTGCGTTCGAGCTGGAGAAACGAGCTCAAACAGAACAGAACAAAAAACACACAAAGAAAACGAACACACACAATAGCAAAGTGAAACACCTCCGGGCAGCAAGAGCGAGGTACTGCGCGGGACGGACGGCTTCAAAAAGGTGTTCTCGCGTGTTGTATGTGTGTGTGTGTATTGTGTGATTTTTTTAAATTAAGAAAAAGAAGTGCTATGGCAATTGATAATAGAAATAGGGAGTGGTGTTAATTCGGAGCACCACGTTGAAAAGCAAAGAATAAAAATAAAAAGGAACAAAAGCAAAACAAATTTGTGCTTAGCTGTAGCGAAAAAGTCACACATGCAGAAGGGCGAGCGACGGTGCATCCAAAACGTCCCCTTACACGGATGAGAGACAGCTGCAAACCAAGAGAGAGAACAAGGCAAAACGGTACAATAAGAACAAACCGGCGTTTCGCATTTCGCACGGAAACGCGTGATCCGAATGTTCGTGACCAGGACTGACTCCCAGGATCCGATCGCTCGCCATTGGACCTCCGGCTGTTTAGCGCGCTGTGTTTTAAATGCGAGGGCTATCACGCAATTCATGATGCGGGCTTAATCTATATCAGGGCATGGGGGGGATGTGTGAGTGAGTGAGTGCTTGTTTGATTGGAAGGATGATGAAGCCGAACGAAAACAAATCAGCCGATGCGATCGAACGAGGACGAGGTCGACATGTGTACTCGGAGCAAGCAAAAGAGTGGCAGGGTAGCAGTGTATCAAACCGAACAACAAAGAGCGACAGAGCCAAAAACAGGAGGAGGGCGGCGACCTCACGACAAACACAACAACAAATAAAAAAAAAAAAAACCTGCTCGCATGGGCTGTTTTTTGGAGCACAATCAAATTCGTTCGGTGGGCTGTAAGCATTGGTTTCTCAGAGCAAGCAAGAGGAGCAGTATAGCAATGTATGGGACACACATCAACAATCAACAAGACTCACGCAGCGCGACAGAGCAAACAGGCAATTCCAACAAACCAAAGCCAAAAATTCGTCTGACTTTTGAGCGTTCTGAGACACTCAGTCATTTCACAATGACTGCAAGCATTGGTTTTACACAGCTGTGAGCGTAGTAGCGAGCCACACGTCAACAACGCGACAAGGGCAAACGCTAAAGTCGAACAGCTCCCATTGGGGCTGAGAAAGTCGGTTAGCTCAGTCGCGTCACATTTCGCATTGGCTGCAAGCACTTGTAAAAACACGCGCATATTCCTACTCTCTTCCACTTGAACCCCCTATCCCTCTTACCTCTTTGCTACGGGTCGTCCCATTCAGTCAACGCTCTCAGTCGCATTGTTGTTTTTCAAATCGTTTTTTGTTCTTTTTGAGCTTTTTCGCCGAAATCGTTTGGAAACACTGCAACGACGACCCATTTTTCTTTTGTTTGCACTCATTTTGAACCAAGTAATGTCATCCTCGTCTTCATCTGCTTCGACTGCGACGGGTGGCGCGCTGCCGCCGATCGTGGTGGCTGGGCTTGTGGGCTTCACTGTGGTTGACGAGGGCATCGTGACCATTGATCCAATGCTCCCAGCGCCCTCGTTCCCGCCACCCGCAGCCGCCGCGCCGTCCAGCAGCAGCCACCAGCGGCAGCAGTCCGTCGACTTTAATGCGCCGGGTGCGCCGTCCAAGACTGGCTCTGACTCGTCGCTCGGTGCGTAAACTTCATTGCGCTGCTTATAACAACCGCGCCAACAGTTCTTCCTTCCTGTCGCTTCACAATGGGCCCCCCTCCTCCCCCGCAACACCCCGCATACTCTTCATGACTGAGCTCTCTTCTTGATTTGCGTGTTGCATGGCATCGCGGCAACTGAGCGTGTGTGTGCGTTGTTGAGTGTCGAGTGTCGCATTCTCTCACTTTGAACTCGCTCATTCTCTCCTTCGCTCTATCGCTCGCTCTCCCTTCACTCGCCGTCGCTTGTTATTGCTATTGCTTTGCTGAAACAACAAAGCAAAAACAGGGTTTGAATCGACTGTGGTTTTGGTTTGACTCGGAAAAAAAAAAAAAAAAAAAAAAAAAAAAAAAAAAAGGCAAACAAAACAAAGGCAAACAACAATGCAATTCATAATGCAAACCAACAAAGGGATTGGAGATTGCAGAGACTTGGATGGAAGAGGACGAGAGGGTGATGGAAAGACAACGGGGAGAGAGAGGTTGAGAGTGGATTGAGAGTGGATTGAGTGGAGAGTGCGAGGGAGTGGAAAGTGTTTGGTGTTTGGTGTTTGGTGTGAGTGAGAATGAGAGAGATTTGTGGTTGGCAACCAAAACGAAAAAAAAAAAAAAAAAAAAAAAAGATTCACAACAACAACAACAACAACAACAACAACATGATCTCAAAACAAGTGGTGAATTTGGTAAAGTGTAGCACGACAAACGCAAACAGATGCGAGATCGATCGAGACGGAGGGAGGGGGGGGGGCAAATCAGGGAGGAAACAGCAGAAGAGCGAGCACTGTCTGAGATCAACAGTGTCAACAACAACAACAACAACACTCACCCATTGACTTTTTGACACATCAGATCGTATTGCCGCACATGGACCGACGAACGCAAACCCGGCAGACTTGAACGAGCTGTCGTCGCCAGCTGCCTCGCATCACCCTCAGCGATCCGTTTACCCGCTCGAGTACCCCGCAGAGCACTACTTTGCTCGGTACTTTTTGAACAAGGGTATGGGGAGACGGCATTTTGACGCTCGATATCACTTTGAGGCTTTGCGCTCACGCCAACGTCGTAACATTCTCACAGAGCACTACAGTTTCGTCGGCATGAACTCGGCCTATGGCGCGTTTGCTCTCTCCGTGATCAAAGAGCACCAAAACAACAAGACCTTTTACCGCTCGTTGCTGTGGACGAAACAGGTAAAAGACAGCGCTCCAGAGACTCTCCCTCGAAAGCAGATCACACGGCTCACCGCCCCAATCTTTCTGTGACAGGGCGTGCACCACTCGTACTTTTTGAGACCCATCTCTGCATCGAGCCAGCTGCAGGCAGTCGCTGCGCACGTCGCAAAAGAACTTGGCTTGGACAAGCATGCATTCAGTAACATCCAGACAGTGCCAAAGCAACAGCAAGCAGAATTCTGCGCAGAGCTGCTCAAGCTGGAGGAAATGTTCATGCCCATCCGCGCTTGCATTGGTGTTGTTGACGGCACGACGTGCGGCCCCAACGCATCGCTGGACGACATGATTGCATCCAAAACGCCTGCCGCCGAAGCGAACCAGCTGCTCGATCAGCTTGGCAAGCGCGTCAACCTGGCTGCCATGGATCCCAGCTTGGCCAAGTATGCCGGTCTGACGCATCTGGGCGAGCCAGGACTGCTCAACACCGTGGAGACTGTGCTGACGCGCATGCTCGGTGTGGATATCGTGTTTCACGTGTCCTTCCTGCTTCCGCTCGATGGAAAAGAAGGTGGCTTGGTATGTTTGTCAGCTGAGACTGATGTTGCTCGCTAAGTGCGAGTAGGAGGAGAAGGAGGAAGACGAGGAAGTGTCGAATTTGCAAATCTCATGTGACATCATTGACAAACTCAAATCAACAGAGCCGAAAGCGCCTCATTGGCAATGACATTGGCGTCGTTGTGCTCCTCGGCAAGGACGGCGTCTTCAACCCGTCGGACTACTTGAGCAAGGTCAACCACATCTTCATCATTCTGCAATCGCACGGCGTGAATGCGCAAATGCAGCCCGTTTTCCGGCTCGCGGTTGTCTACAGGGACAACGTCCCCAAGTTTGGTCCTACTCTTAGCGATTCTGTTCTGAGCTGGACCAACATGCGAGCCTACATTATTGCGAAAAGTATGCGCTTGGTTTTTTGATCGATTTTGTTGGTTGTGTGTTTCCGGTTGTTCACTGACTTGATCGTTGCTCTGTTTTGGGACTAGCCTTGAACGGAATGCACGCTGCTCGCCAGAACGCCCCCGGATTCCGACGCGAAGACGTGTACTTGCGCCAACTGGAGGAGCTGCAGTCGCGGTACAGCGAGCGCATGCGCTCGGAATCCGTGTTTGTCGAGTTGATGAACACGGAGACAGCGCCGGCATCCACGGAGGGCGCGCACTACGAGTTTGACATGTACAACAGCAACCTTGATCTGTCGCAGGGCTCTTCGAGCACCCCTGGCAGCGTGTCGTCGCCGCTCCGCATGAGCAGTGCCGGCAACGTGTTTAACGACTTTTCGTCTGAAGCAAACTCGCCACATCGAGCAATGTCGCCACAAGCCAGTGGCGCGGATGTGTCTGAGCGTGGCATGCGCAAGAGCATTAGCACGAGCAAGGTTGAGGGTGCGCTAGCTGCCGCTCGTCGAAATGCCTCGCGCGAAAATTCCGGTCTGAGCGAGGCAGCCAAGCGCGAAGAGGCCGAGCAGCCCTCCATGCGCAAGAGCATCTCTGTCAGCAAACTCGGACCCAAAGATGCTGGAGCAGCCGGCGGCACTGGTGCCAAATCCAAGGACGGCACGCCGCCGCGCAGTCCAGCCAGCACATCTGCCGCAGTCTCATTTGCGCTTGAAGCAGTTGAGCTTGTGCAGGCTGACGATGACGATGTCGCACTGCCGAGCATTTCCGAAGACCTGCAGGACATGGCCGACCTGGACGATGATCGGCCGCACGTGACATTGTGAGTTTGTGCAATCAGTGTTGTGCAAATCTCATCCCGCGCAGTTCTCACCTTGTGTTCTTTATTTTGATTGCGGTCGGACAGCGGCGGATGGGATATCATGTCTTATGACGACGAAGAGGCTTACCACGACGCCACGCTTGGTGATCTCACTCGCAAGCTCGGTGATCTCGACGAAGAACAACGCGCGTACATTTACCGCATGATTGACATGGAGAGCGACGTTCGAGGTGAGTTAGTCAGATTGCTTCTCGCTTCGCCTGCACCTCACGCATACTCACACCACTTTCGCTTTGATCTTTCCAACAGCCAACGAACTCCTCGATGATGACTTTTTCTCCTCCATGGCCACCCTCGAACACACCACCTATGTGGACCTGCCGCCGAGCTCGGAAGGACACGGGTTTGCATTCGAGGAAGGTGCCGACCATCTCTTCGTGGTGAGCGTGACTCCAGGTGGAATTGCTGAAACGGCCGGGCTCTGCAAGGACGACAAGCTGCTCAGCGTGAACGGCGTCAAAGTCAATGAAAGCAATGTGGGCACCGTCGGATCGTTGCTGCAGCAGGAAGACACGGCGTTCGAGCTGCTCATCTCGCGTCCGCTGTCGCTGGACGCCGACGAAGCCTTCCAAGAAGCCAATCCCGTCAGTACGCTGGTCAAGGCATGGCTCGCTGACAAGAAGGACAGCATCTGGTCGGAAAAGATTGTCGTTGGGAAAAACCTCCTATTCGAGGCCGCGCCTCCTGCTGTTCCGGCCAACGTGCGCTCCCGCAGCAACAGCACGACCGCTTCGCCACGCACGTCGGTGACGTTGATGCCACCTGCATCCCCGTTGTCTGTCACTGCCGAGGCTGCCGCGCCCGATTCGCCTGGTGCGGCGGGCTCGTCCGTAGCCACCATGAAGTCGGCGCCAACGGATGGACACGGCAATTACCTGCCAGTCGCCGGAGGCACGGTGAATGCGCTGATTGCGCATTTGACCTCGGCGAACGACCCTGCCTTCACGGATGTCTTTATGCAGACATACTCGTCTTTCACAACAAACGAAATCTTGCTCAAAAAGCTCTTCCAAAAGTACTACCAGCCCTCGAGTTCCTTGGCGCTGGATGGCTCGTCGCGCACATCCTTCCTCGTGTGCAACGTCCTGAAAAAGCTCATCACAGATCACTGGGACGATCTCACTGGCAAGGAGTTTTTGCTATTGCGTGAGTTCTTGGTGCAAGCCATGGCCAAAAAGGGCTCGAGTGGCAAGGGCGAGAGCGCGGTGATGACGCTGCTTGTCGACACGATCAAAAACTACGATCGGCCGCGGTTGCTGGGCCTGGACTTGACTGACGGGCACTCGGGCCGAGCCAACGTGCTCGACTTTAGCGCAAAGGATGTCGCTCGCCAAATTACGCTTCGTGATTCGATTGTCTTCCGGCGCGTGCGTGTTTCCGAGCTGCTGGGCTCGGCCTGGAGTCGCGAGGACCGCCAAATGACCTGCCCCAATCTGATGGCCCTCATCAAGCAATTTAACGAGGTGTCGCACTGGTGCTCGACGTCCATCTTGAACGAGCCGACTGCATCGGGTCGCGCTGATGTGATTACAAAGTTCATCAAGCTGCTCAAGCACCTCTTCTCGCTGAACAACTTTTGCTCAATGATTGCCATCATTGCCGGCCTCAATTCTGCCGGTGTGTGCCGTCTCAAGTCTTCGTTCGCGCTCGTGTCCAAGCGTCTGATGGCCTCCCTGGTGGACCTCACGACCCTGATGTCGTCGCGTGGATCGTACTCCAAGTACCGCATCTTCCTGTCCAAAGTCAAGGGCGCCTGCGTGCCGTACGTCGGTCTGTACCTGCAAGACCTCACCTTTATCGAAGACGGCAACCCGAACAAGATTGGCACGGCTGCGCTGCCGCTCATCAACTTTACCAAGCGACGACAGGTGTTTGAGGTGGTTGACCGCATCCGAAACTTCCAAGGCCAGTGCAACTACAAGAGCATCAAGCCCAATGCCAAGATTCTGGGCATGATCAACGGGTTTAAGCGCATGTCCGAGGATGAAATGTACAAGCTGTCGCTTGAACGCGAGCCCAAAGTGAGCGGAACGGGACGCACCTCGTTCTCTGCGTTGACCAGCAACAGCCATTAAGGTTTGGGATTTTAAGAGATGGTTTTGTTTTCGACGCGGGGTTTTTCAGATGGACATTGCTTTTTGTGCATTTGTGTAGTAAGAGTGTTTTGTTCTTTGGTTTATTGTTACATTGCCCCGAGTTGCCTTTGTTGATTTTTTTTTTTCCTTTCTTTCTTTCTTTCTTGTGATACACTAAAAGTTTTTTGATTGAATCTCTTTTTCGTTGGTCAAAAAATGAATTCCGAGTTCGAATCTGGAAAGAATTAAGGCTCAGAAATATACTCGCGTTGAGATTTGAGTCTGTTTTTGGGAAAGTGTCAGTCCTTGTTTGTTAAGCTGTTTCGAGGAGATGCAGTTCACTCGGAGCATGGCTAAGAGACAGCGCGAATTGTACGACCAAGTCAAGAATGCGAGTGGAACGCTCCGGTAAGACAAAAGCCCGAGTTGATTTGGAACAAAGTGTTGGCAGCGTGTGCTGACGAAAATGGAGGCTGAGAGGCAGATGGGCGATGTTGGAGCGCAGGCGATTGCTGAGGCACTCAAAGTGAACACGACGGTGACTGGGATTTAGTAAGGCATACTGATGCGTGAGTGGGTGATTCAGAAGAGTGCTCACTGATGGAGGGATGGTCAGTCTGTGGGCGAATCAGATTGGTGATGTTGGTGCGCAAGCGATTGCTGAAGCACTCAAAGTGAACAAGACGTTGACTGAGCTCTAGTAAGGCATCTCACTCTTGTTGGTGCATGTGAGTGGGTGATTCAGAAGAGTGCTCACTGATGGAGGGATGGACAGTCTGCACCAGAATCAGATTGGCGTTGCTGGAGCGCAGGCCATTGCAGAGGCACTCAAAGTGAACACGACGTTGAAGGACCTCTTGTAAGTCATCTCACTCTTGTCGGTGCATGAGAGTGGGTGATTCAGACGAGTGCTCACTGATGGAGGGAACGGACAGTCTGGCTGAGAATCAGATTGGTGATGCTGGAACAATTGCGATCGCTGAGGCTCTCAAAGTGAACAAGACGCTGTCGTGGCTCGGGTAAGTCAATTCGCATCTACTGATGCTTATGAGTGGGTGATCAAGTAGAATGTATTAGGAGTGCTCACCGACGGAGGGTGGGATGGACAGTTTGATTGATAATCAGATTGGCGATGCTGGAGCACAAGCGATTGCTGAGGCACTCAAAGTGAACATGACGCTGACGCATCTCGAGTAAGGCACCTCACGTTGACTGATGCATGTGAGTGGGTGATTGCAAGCAGAAGGCATTCAGAGTACTGACTAATGGAGGGGCCTGACAGTCTGCACCGGAATCAGATTGGCGATGCTGGAGCGCAAGCGATTGCAGAAGCACTCAAAGTGAACACGACGCTGACTTATGTCTCGTAAGTTGCTGTGCGCTTTGCTTTGGTGGCCTTGCTCGTTGGCCAAGGTCAGCCATACCTTGCTCACCCTTTGAGCGATAGTCTACGATTCAATTGCATTGGTAATGCTGGTCTTCAAGCGATTGGTGAAGCGCGTCAAGTCAACCGGACTCTGACTAGACTTATGTTCGTTGTTTGTCCGAACGAATTGTGCTCTTCCAACCAACAGAGTCACCCTGCGGAGTGCTCATTCACCTTGATTGTTCGTGCGCAGAATCGATGACCAGATCAACCCTCTTGCATTCTCCTTGCTTTCACGATTGGCAACTGCTGAAGACCTTCAGACCGTGTTTCACTTGCTGACTGGCGGGCTGGCGCTGGAGGATCAACCCACATCTCTACCAGCACTGCCAACCGAGATTGTCGAGCTCATTTTGGACGAAGCGCACTACTGGCAAGGCGTGCAGCACACCAAGCGATCGCGGTTTGGTGATGATACTCCCAAGCGTATTCTGAAAGTCACACTGCCTCAGCGCGTCAATGGGAATTCGATCCGTGTGAAAGCAATTCATGTGCTTCGTGACACGAGAAACCGTTCCGACCGTATCGATGACAGCGGCTTTGATTTGATTGTTAGAGATGAGCGAGGTGCTGTTCGATACGAATGCTCGGAGAAAGCGACAATCGTCAATTCGAACCTCGAGCTTGTGACAGTCCTGCCAGCTAACCATCCTGTCATCCGACACATGCGCGCGGGTTGGCAGGTTCAAGTTCGAGCCAGCAAGTCTCCCGACGATGTGCTGTATGAATCGCTTTATGTTGGCTATGTCTAAGAAAAATGAATTCCGAGCACGGAATCTGGAAAGAATCAATAATAGAGCCTTCCCGTCATGCTCAGACTTAAATGCCACAGCGAATTTGAACAAAGATGGGACACCACGACGCTCCGTGCTCTTGAACTAAGACATGCAAAAAAAACCCCAGTCACCGGCTGATGTTGTACAAACAAACAAACAAACAAACAAGAGAACAAAAAAACTCTTACCGATGGACGAGGCTCGGAAGTGGTTGTCGTGCCAGTGCCTGCTCCGGAACCAACGAGCGTGTCTTGTCGAAGCGGGCTCGGCGACGCTGGTTGCTGCGCATCGAGCGGCATGATGGTTTGTGGCGGGAACTGCGGTGTGCCGTCGGCCAATGCCTTGTCGCCGTTTTGGACTTCCTCACGGATGATGTGCAGCACACGGCGAATGATATTGCCGATGGTAGTTTCTGCAGACCAAACGAGCGAGTGAGCCGCGGTTGAGCGTTGAGACACAGCAACTGAGAATTGGGATCAACTGCGCCTTTGCTTACCACTTGGTGCAGCCAAAGCAAGACGCTGTCCAATCTCACGCATTGATTGTTTCCCCCCCCCCCAAGGTGCAACAACAAAGTGAGCATGTTTTGGCTGGGCGTTGCATTGGGTGGGACTTTGTACTTGACAACAATTTCAGTCACACAGCAATCTCTCGCAATCAGATTTTAGCAATCGCGAATGCTCAAGAACACCTTGCATCTCGCTCAAAGCTGGTCGTAGATAACGTTGGCAAGGGAGCAGGTGAGACCGCCGCCGGAGGGCTCAATGTTGACGTGGGTGAAGACGCCGTCGTTGAGAACAGCGGAGAAGCGGGTGGTGCGGAGGCCACCGAGCGGCGGGGCGTTGAACTCGAGGCCGAGGGCCTTGGTGAGCTCGGCGGTGGGATCGGCGAGCATGCGGACCTTGCCTTCGGCGTTGTGAGCCGCGCCCCAAGCCTGCATGACAAAGCCGTCGTTGACGGCAATGACAGCAATCACTTCAGCGCCCTTGGCCTTGAGCTTTTCATAGTCCTTGACGTAGCCGGGCAGATGGGTCTTGCTGCAGCCGGGGGTGAAGGCGCCGGGAACGCCAAACAGGATGCCCTTCTTGCCCTTGAAGAGCTCGGCAATGTCGACAGTGGTCTTGGCGTCGTTCTGCGATGACGAAAGAGAGGGGAGAGAATTAGAATATAGGTGAGAATGGTGTCAAAATCGGTCTCGATTGCTACGACTTGACCATGCAATCAATGGCCTTACTTCGTAAACTTGGACCGAGGGGAGAGAATCACCGACCTGGCAAATCACAAGCAAATGCAAGCCAGACATATGAGCAAAAGCAAGTTAAAAATGCAAGAAACGGCGAGTATACTGGTATACTGAGTTTATACTGAATCTGAGTTGATCGGGTTGATGTCGACGTTGCTTTCCAAAAACACCACCCCCTCAACACCCACTCCCGCACCCCAACTCCGTCAGCAACCAAACGCGCTTGAAAAACGATTGTTGTGAGATGATCATCACAGAGCCGAGGTCAACGTCAAAGTCAAAGTCAAAGTCGAACGTTCAAGGAATTGGAGCAAAATTTGAAAATTGAAAAGCAAAAGCCGTTCCAATATTTACTCATTCCGCTCGCAACGAGAGCGAGACTCAAAAACCATCTCCATCGGAAGACAAAGCCGAGCACAGCACGACGCTTCTGCAAGAACGCAGGCAAGGCAAGGCAAGGCAGAGGGACGGTCGAGAGGGGGAAACCAGCAGAATGGAAATCTCCGTTCCGTTCCCTTCAGTTCAGCTCAGTATGGCACCATTCGAACAGCGTCGACCACAGGATTTGTCCCCAGCATGTGCGAGGAGTTTTAAACGACAAGCAAAGCATTAGGAAACAAAAGCGGAGAAAAAGTCCAGAGTCCGTGTCGAGGTCTGCAATGGAAGAAGCAGCAAGAAGTGGAAAACGGCTTCCTCGCTCTCTCTCTCTCTGCTTGAGGCACACACGACCACAGTACCAAGCCCCGAGAGCGAGCGATCGGATGGGAAGAGCAGAGTTGCATGGATGTGAATGAGTGCGCACTTTGACCATGGCTCGTTTGGCAGCGGATGCGAGTGCAGAGGAAGCGGAGGAGGAAAAGTGGCGCGCAGTGACTGCGAGACGAAGACTGGACGACACGGCAGCGAACATTGTGTAGTGAGTGCAAATAGAGAAGTGTGATGACGAGTGGACTAATGCGTTGTGGAGGGGGGTGGGGAAAAAGAGTGCTCGGTCTCTTAGAAACTCAGACCAAGTCAGAAGCTCAGTCTGTTTTTTGAGAGATGAACACAACGACGACGACGACAATGTCATCGCTCCAGCAGCCAGCAGTGGATATCGAACAGCATGCACTGCTCCGTGTCAAGCGATCGCGCGACGAAGCCCCCGCCGAGACGCTCTGTAACAAAGCCGACAATGCGAAAACAGCACATGGAAGCTCACAGTGATAGAGACCCCTTATCCCCGCTGGCTGCTCACTTTCGAACTCTCGCCTGATCATGTGTGCTTTGGCTGGTGGTGCCAGTTATCGAGACGTCGCACAAGCGCGCGAGAGAGGACTTTGCGCGTCGGTTTGGCTCGCACCGGCTCGGGCAGCCAGCGCAAGACGACGAGTCGGATCCACGGAGCGCAATCCCACAAGTCCTATCGCATCGCGAAGGTGCGTGTGTGCGTGTGTGTGCTTGTTGCTTTCAAATGTTGGCTGTGAACGGCCGAACAGAACAGGGAGAGCGTCAAACCCTCACGCATGGTTCGTTCGGTTGGCATTGATACAGCACAAGAGCTCAAACGACAGCAAGAGCTGCAGGCAATGGCCGACCAGAGCAAGCCCGTGCTGTTCCAGTATGTCACTACTGTGTCGGCGCGTGCGCTTCGAAGCCAAGCCGGCGTCCAGAAAGTGCAGGTGGGTCGTTCTGGTCGAGGGTTGTTTGTCGGGTTTTCCATTCGTTCCGTGCTCACTGTTGCTGGACGTTTTGTTGTGCGATCTTAGTCCGTGATTGAGCAAGAACGGCTGCGAAGACGGCAGGCGGTCGCTTTTAAAGCAAACCCGTTTGTCAAAACCGCCAAAGAGCGTCAAACTGCTGCGCGGGTAACGTTCTTTCAATCGCAGCCACGCTTCAGTTGGATGGCTATGACTTGTATGTGTGCTAAAACCCAACCGGATGGTCTTTTTGTGACAGGAACGCAATGCCGAAGCCCGGTATCAATGGATTACCGCACGGCGGCATTTTGACGAGTAAGGCGTTTGCGCAGCTTGCATGGCATTCGTGCCAGCTCTTGGCTGCTAAGAGTTGGTGGCCTACTTTTGAACTCATGTACATTTCTTTGATGCTGCGGTAGTGGTGAGGATCTCGACGAGCAGTCTGGCAACGAAGATCCGATTGCAAATCTCGGATTTCGAGTCTATGATTTGCAGCGCTTGGCTGAGAGGTGCGTCCAATCGTTCCTGTCGCGTGCGTGTGATACCTTGTGTTTCAGGCATTTGGGCTCACTGCCTCTTTTGTTTTTGTACGTTCTCCAGGCAAACCCCAAAGCTCAAAGCAAAAAGCGATCAAATTGTTATGAATATGATTCCGTTGGTGCGGGAACGTCTGCGCATGCGCGGAAGGGACGACACTGATCCTGACGAGATTGCCAACGAGCTGCCTTTCGTCGAAGCCGAGCAGGCTCGCCATTTGGCGGAACTTGAGCGGTCCTTCCAGGCGCAGCGGCTCGATGCACAAAAAGCAGCTGCAGAAATGAATCATTTTGGCGCCAGCGACGAGGACGATGGGCCACGACCTCCAGAAGTCTTGCGCGCTGCAGACCTGCCCGCTGCTTCGGAATCCGCTGCAGACGAAAGCGAGCCTGTCGTGGACATTTACATGGAGACTACAGATGCGACAAATCCGCTCAGCACTCCCGACGCCTTGTACGTGCAAAGGGGGTGGCATTGTTCGTTGACGTTCGTCCTTGTGATGCTCACCATTACGTCGATGTTGAAACAGCCCCGTAATTCCATTCCCCGAGGAAGCCCTGGTTGATGATGGCGAACTTTCTGACGATTCGAACTACTACGAAGACGATGACGACGAGAATGGTAAATATAGCAAGAGATTTGCGTTTGAACGTGTGATGCATTGGGGTTTCCCAATTCACTCACGCTCTTTTGTCGCAGATGAGAACAACTACCGAAACGACTACCCCGATGAGGACGAGTACGAAGAGGACAACCATCGCAGCGATTCAGACAATGACGAGCGCGTCTTTGATGTCATTAATCGATTGGACAGCGACGTCGAGGAAGATGATAGCGACGAAGAGTTTGATGAGACGAGCGAGATCGCTGCCTCAGCTCGAGCCCAATATGGAGCTGACTGGATGACTCGATTCCGCCAATGGCGCGAGCGCCAAGAACGGCTCTGAGAAAGCGACTGGTCGTTTTTGTTAACAAGTATACTCCATGGGAGCTCTGACACTTGATCGATGCACCACCGTCAAATGTCTGAGTTCGAATTGTTGTGTCGTGAACTACTGTACATCCAATTCGATCTCCATGCCCGTTTCATTGAACATGTCGCTTCTCTGTTATCCTTACTCTTCTCGATCTTGTCCCGCTCAGTCTTTGCAAATCGCCCTTCCCTTGTCTTTGTTTCGCCACCAATGGATTGGCAATGGAAAGTCAGGCTGATTGCTGCCGCCAGTCTCGCTAGCATTGCCGTGCTAATCGCGCGTCGCCATCGCCAACGCCGCCGCGCCCAGCGCGAGGCAAACGCGCGTGCAGTCCTGAGCCACATGGCTGCAGTTGAGCAGCAGCGCCTGGCGGACGACAACGTCGACCAGCCGCCCCAACGCGTGGCAGATCATCAAGCCACGCAAGAACTCCGCTCTGCGTTTGCCGCCACGGCCGCGCTCGCCGAGTCCGCCGGCCAGCTCGATGGCGCTGAGAAGAGCATTGCCGACCGCATTGTTGCTGCAGCATCTGCTGCTGGCGGGCAGGTCGCGGACGGAGCAAGTGCCATTCCCAACAACAGCAACAGCAACAGCTCGCCGACATTGCCTTCTTCGGCCTGGTCGCTGCTTCGAGTCGATCTGGTTGCGCCAGACCCGGCGATCGGGCGTCCTGTCGCAGTCACGGGCAACTGGGCCATGCTCGGATGTGCTGCTGCGTTTGGAAAGGCTCCCCTCTATTTCCTGCAAGAATGCCAACAACGGGTGAGAAATGAAGCTGTCAAGTTGTTGTTGTATACCGTTTTGAGTGATCCGCAACTGTGACTCATACTTGCTTGTCAAACTCTGTCACTCATCTTGGAAACCTGATCTCTCGTGTTGCATCAGCTCGGCGACGTCTTTACGCTCAATCTCGCTGGAAGGCGGATGACCATGATCGCGGATCCCAAGTACTTTGAAGACGGCTTTTTCAACGCCGAGCCTGCCATCAGCTTCAAGCACGCCATCCAGAACTTTGTCGTGAACATTGCCGGCATTGACCCGCAGCGCGTTCTCGACACGCATCGGGCAAGCCACGACCTCATGAAGGGGAAACTGGCGCCAAACATGCTGGGTCCGTTTGTTCCGACGCTTTCTGCCAACTTTGCATCCGAAATTGAGTACTTTCGCAACCGAGTCTTCCAGTTCCTGGACACCAAAAAGTCTGCAGACGGCTCCCCAGCAGTGGCCCCCTTCCATGCACGAATGATTTCCTCGCCAGATTCTTCAGGCTCCCCGACGACGACCGTCGAAGTGGATCTACTGTTCTTTGTCCGCCATGTCATGTTCCGCGCGGCCGTTCCTTGCCTCTTTGGGCGCGAAGCTGCCGACGGCGAAAAGCTTGCCACCCTGTTTACCAACTTTTACATTTTCGACAAGGACTTTGAGTATGGCACTCAACTCCCAGGCGTGCTGCTCCCTGCATTCGCCAAAGCCAGAAAGTGGATTATGGAGAACATCTTCCGCCCCACGGTCGCACGAGTCCGGCAACGCGACCCCGAGAATCCCGACCCGAAAGCTGTCAACCAGGCTCTCTTCCACTCGCTTTCGCATCTGTTCCACGCGAGTGATGCGCCTGGTTACGGCATGCTCCTGCTCTGGGCATCCCAAGCCAACAGCATTCCCGGAAGCTTCTGGGTGCTTGTCTTCCTCCTCTCTCATCGGCAGCTGTACGACCAAGCGCGCGCAGAAGTGCTCGCCGCGACGAAAGGCGCTGCATCCATCACCTCCGAGATGGTTGCTCAGATGCCGTTTTTGCGCCGGTAATGACGTTGTGATTCTTTGCTGCGATGGCGAAGCGAAGGGGGGAAAGGATTGAGTCTGACCATCTGCTTGTTCTGCACAGCTGTATTTTGGAAACCATCCGGCTTCGCGCTCCTGGCATGATCACCCGTCGCACAACCGAGGAAGTGCGCATTGGCGAGTACACTATCCCTGCTGGAGACTTTTTGGTGTTGTCCCCCTTCTGGGCGCATCGCCGAGGCGCCAACTTCCAGTCTCCCCATGAGTTTTTCCCAGTAAGGCGCTCGCTGCAGCGTAGTGAAGGAGTCGAGAGGTTTGGTTTCTCACTTTCTGCTCTCTTTCTGGCAGGACCGCTGGCTTGCTGCAGATGTGGACAAGAACAAGCTGCTGGATGGATTCATTGGCTTTGGTGGTGGCCGTTACCAATGCCCTGGTCGCTGGTTTGCGCTGACCGAGATGGCGCTGTTCCTCGCTCACATGTTGCAATCGACGCGCTTGGAGCTTGCCAGCCCAGCGCCCGAGCCCAGCCCGCTGCATCTCGTGGGCGTGCAAGAACCACGCACGCAGTGCCTTGTGAATGTTCAGTTTGCGTGAAAGGGTTGTGGATGTGATGTAAGCATGAAGAATTCTTTTGTTGTTCATGACAAAATTCGACAACAAAAAACGCGACCAGCGCTTAACAATCAATCCCTTGGTCGCAACACGAGCAACAAATCATCCAAGACATAATACTTGCGGTACAAATCGCCGTGGCACAAGTATGGCGACCGTCCCATGGCCTCCACGGTGAAGCCCGCGGGCTCAATTAGTTGGTGGATCAGCTCCTCTGCCCACTGCTCGAAGCAAACGCCAGTCAACTGGACTGTTTCGACGGGTTTGTTTTGTCGTCCTTCTGGTGTGGAAGCTGTTTCAGACAACAAACCAAAAATGAAGAAGCGAGAGGATGAGTTGTGGTCACAGAGGACTGAGATTCGTTTCAGATGTTCCTTACCAAACTCAACATAAGGGCGGAATGGCAACACAATCGCCAAAATAACACGACCCGTCTTGGGGGTAAGGCGGGAGCGAATGTCTTGCAGCAGTGTGCGAGGCCGTTCGCAGCGATCCAGCACGTTCAGGCACGAAATGACATCAAAAGGACCCAACAAACGCGGATCCGAGTGCAAGTCCAGTGTGTTGATTGATCTGCACCCCCCCCCCAAATATCATCAAGTTCGTGAGTAAGCGTCACAAGCACTCCCCAAACAAAGCAACTCAACTTTCAACAAGTCTCACGTAAAGCCACGCTGTGCCAGGCGCCAGGACATGACGGCAGAAGCTTCCGTTGTGGTAACAGAAGCAAACATCGGAGCCAGACGAGCGGTCACGTTGCCATCGCCGGCACCAATGTCGAGCAACGTTCCAAAGTGCGGAATACGAGCGCTATTGCGATCAACATCGAGGTGCACTGACGATCCCGACGCGCCTCCAACAGCATCAGCATCAGCACCAGCAGCACTTGACGGAGCAGTGATTGCAGGGAAGTTTGACTGTGCAGTGGTGCCCGTGTACGATCGTGTCAGCAGCTTGGCAAACTGCTCGGTGGATGCGACGTGCATCTGGCCACGGAGCAGGAGACCGTTGACGCCCGTCATGGAGAGCACAGGGCGCAGCACGGCCATCACCAGCGAGTGAAAGTAGTGGCGAACCATCGAGCCATACAGGTTGTAGCTCTCCTCAAGGAAGGCCGCGGTTCCTTCGTCCAGACCCAGGTGGACGTACTTTGACGCGAGCTCCGGGCTCAGCAGCTCGGGTCGCATTGTGAACTTGAGCTTTGTGGTTTCGGCTTGGGTGAGGAATGGCAGCACAGGCGCCACTTGAGCTGGAGCTGGAGCTGGAGCAGCATTGGAGCGACTGGTTGACTGGGACGACATTGTGCTGGCTCTGCTGGAGAGTGGACGGCGGTGCAATCCTGTCAATGATGATCCTATTGAGGATGATGATGGTGATGGTGATGATGATGATGACGGTCGGTAGAGTGACGATGCAGTGAGAGTGCGGTGCGCCACGCGGTGCATCGAAGTCAAAGAGCGAGCCAACGAGAAGTAGAATGAATGGAAGAAAAGAAAAGAAGAGTGTGACTGTAAGCATATTGCGATTGATGGAAGAGAATTGAAGAGATTGAAGGAGATTGAAGGAGATTGAAGGAGATTGAAGGAGATTGAAAGAGATTGAAGGAGATTGAAGCAATTGAGGTTTGCACTTCGTTTGTAGGATTGCGATTCAGTTGAGATGCATCTGGTCTGAGATCTGAGATTGTGACTGAGATTTGAGATTTCGAGACTTGAACGCGTTTCGCTCAGAATTCTGGCAGTCTTCTCTTTGCTTTTGCTTTTGCCCTTTGTTTGTTTCATTCAAAACAAGTCTCAAAAAAAAAAAATGTCGACTTCCAACAAGACATACAAACTGTGTGTTCACAATGCGGCGCAGCTCGTGACCGTCTGCAGCCAAGGCGAGCGCATGAAGCGCGGCAAGGCGATGGACGAGGTGAGGAGAACTGAATGTCTGAGACTCTGACTTGTTCGCAGTTCGTATTTGCTCATCTTTGCACTACTTGGCGTCTGTCTGTGTATATAATGATGATGATGATGATGATTGCTGATCGCTGCTGCAGGTCGCCATTGTGGAGAACGGGACGGTCGTGATTGGCCACGACGGGCGCGTTGCGTACGCTGGACCGGCTGCGGATGCGCCTGCGACTGCGACCGACGCAGACATGGTTGTGAATGCAGCGGGTAAGTGCGTGCTGCCTGGCTTTGTCGACGGCCACACGCACCCGGTAAGAAACGATGATCCGTGGAGTCGGAGTCGGAGTACGACCGTGACCGACCTGGCTGATATGATGCGAAAATGAGCTGACTTTGCCGGTCGTGGGACTGCGTATCTTGGGTGGTGAATGTGTTACTCATGGTGCTGATGGAACGTGTTGGTTGGAGCAGGTTTGGAGCGGAAGCCGCGTTCACGAGGTTGGTGTGACTGGAATGCCAATTTAGCATGTACTGTATGCTATGGAAGGAGACTCACCATTGCGTGTACTGCGTATTGCGTGTGGGTAGTTTGCCATGAAGCTCGCTGGTGCAACGTACATGGACATTCACAAGATGGGCGGTGGCATTGGATTTACAGTGAGTGACCGCGAAAAATCAACAATTTGGCTGCATCCCTGCTGATATTTCGGTGATCTGGTTTGCTCTCTGTCGATAGGTGCAACACACTCGCGCTAGCAGCGAGGAGGAGCTGCAAAAGCTGCTGCAGGGACGCTTGGATCGCATGGTTCGCGCAGGCACTACTTGCGTTGAAGCCAAGAGCGGCTATGGCCTTGAGACGGCGACAGAGATGAAAATGCTCAAGGTAACGAGCTCCAGCCCTGTGCAATGAAGACGATGGAACCCAAGCACATGCTGAAAATCTCGTTGTCCCCTCGGTAAATTTAGGTTTTGCACCGCGCCAGCAAATCCCACCCAATCACCATCTGCTCAACCTACCTGGGCGCACACTCAGTCCCCAAAGGCACGCCTGTTGCAGACTACACAAAGAACATTGTGGAGGAGCAGCTGCCCGAGCTGAAGCGATTGATGGACGCCGGCGAGATTGCGCCCACGGCCATCGACGTTTTCTTTGAGAAGGGCGTCTTTGAGCGCGAGGATACGACCCGCATTCTTCAGGTTTGGTAGTATTTGCATTTGACCAGCTTTTTGGTAGTTGGGTCTGCTGTCTTCAAGCTCCCTCAACTTTTCTTCTTCTTCTTCTCCTGAATAGGCTGGAAAGCAACTCGGCTTGCTGCTCAACTTCCACGGTGACGAGCTCAATTTTGTCGGCGCTGGAGAGCTTGGCGGTGAGCTGGGTGCACGCGCCATCAGTCATCTGGAAGAGGTGTCGGACGCTGGCATTGCTGCCATGGCGCAGCGTGAGGTGTTTGGAACCCTCCTGCCCACGACCGCCTACGTGTTGCGCATCAAGCCCCCGCCTGCACGCAAGCTGATTGACGGAAGTGAGTGCTGAGTTGGGATTTGTTTGTTGTGCGAGTAGTTATCGGTTGAGCAACGCTCACCAAATCCCGTTTTGCCGCAGATGTTCCTGTTGCTCTTGGCAGCGACTTCAACCCCAACGCCCATTGCTTGGCAATGCCTTTCGTGATGAACCTTGCGTGCGTCACAATGCGCATGACCATGAATGAGAGTCTCGTTGCGGCGACCATCAACGCTGCAGGTACGTCACTAGATTGGTCGCATGTTTTTGGTGGCACTTCCATACATTTGACTTTTGGTTGAGACAGGCTCGTTGGGTGTCGCGCAAGACCATGGCTCGATCGAAGTTGGCAAGCTGGGCAACCTCGTGCTGATCGATGCGCCACGCTGGGAGCACGTCGTGTACGAACTGTACGATCCCCCGATCGAGACTGTCTTCATCAAGGGTCAGGTCGCCCATTCGCGAGCGTGACTCTAATGGATTCTGCTCAAGTCGTACTTGGAATGGATTTGTGCTCAAGTGGTGGGGGTTGGATGTGCGCAAAGTCTATTGACAAGGCAGGATTGCGACCATGAATCAATCACAGTCATCACAACAATTAAATTGGATGCAACGCAACAAAAATCAAAGCAGAGAAATCGGATGGAGAAAGAAAATCAGCGGCTACTAACAATATAAGAAAAAAAGGAGGCATTGAAGGAGAGAAGAAAGCAAGAAAAGAAAAGCACTACGATGTAGAGCGACAGGCTTCAAAAGAACTGAAAAAGTCTGAGTGGAGGAAGCAAGCAGGAGGAGATAAGTGAAAAATGGCAACACCAGGACAAACAATTCGTCCGGGGTTGGAAACTAAGAAAATGGTCAAGAGACAGTTGGAAAAGTCCAAGACGAGAAAATCAACAGAATCAAGATCTGCCTCCGAGAGAGCCAAAAGACGGAATGCTGACAGAATTTACAAGGGTGTCTCTGGAGAGTTCAGAAAGGCCTGCAGGGTGGCCGGGCAATCAAAAATGGGCGAGTCGGCGATGTCATACGCCGGAGGTGGGATGGGAGCATCGGAAATCTCCTCGTACGTCGTTCCATTGCTCTCGGTGCGGCGATGATGAGAGGCTGAGGGTGTGGTGCGACGGCCTACAATTTCGATATCGTGCGAGGTGACGGTCGAAAAGCCAGGGAGCGAGCCAATGTACGACGAGTCTGGTGCTGCGGGCTGCGCTTGTTGTGCCGCTGCCTGCTGTTGTGGCTGAGTCGCGTTCAACAACGAGGTTTGGGCCAAAACTGCCTGCTCCACCTGCTGCTGGGTGAGACGCGCGGCATCTTTGCGCACAAGGAACATGATGTACGCAGACTTGGACACAACCGTGCTCGGATCCACCTTTTCGACACGGGAATCGTCGTACGAGTACCAGATGCCAGAAAGCGGGTTTTTGCAGAAGGCAGTGTAGTGGCCGCCGCCCAGCGAACCAAAGTGGTTGCATACAGCGTAGACGTCATACAGCGAGCCCTTGTGAGGACCCAGTAGAGTTTCAAGATTCGCCGTGGCGCGCTGCAGCTGGGCGGGCGACACGTCGTCGGACGGATGCTGCAGTGCCTCTTCGATGCGTGACGCGTTCGGGCAGTAGTGCGACATGTCAATGTCTGTGAGAGGGAAGGTGACCGTGTCGGTGAGCTTTTTGCGCAGCCGAGTGGTGAACTGGAAGCGCTTGAGATGGACAATCAGCACGTCGGGCAGCTTCCACAGCTCGAGCTTCTTGACGGCGCCCTCTTGGTGCTGTTTGCACTTGGAGCAGTACCAGGCGTCATCCGCCCCAAGCTTTTCCTCTTGCAGGAATGATCCAAAGCACTGGTGCAGCGAGAACGTTTCGTCCGAGTCGTACGAGTACGGGCGCTGGTGGTGCTGTCGCAGCGTCTCGTGCTCTGTAAACCCAGTGATGCGAGAGTCGTCGAAAAGAGCCTTGCGCTCTTTGGGGATCCATTCACAGAGCAGAGTGAGCGTTGGCGGCAACGCAAGGTCTTTGCAATCGACCGCAGCGATGAGTTCGGTCGAATTTTTCAGCGTTTTCATCATGAACAGCGCGTCCTCGGGATTGGGAGTGGTTGGCTGAGCTGGTTGGGCGTCGGCGGTCGAGGCGGCAGTGGCGGAAGTGGCAGGAGAACTTGAATCAGGAGACGCGATCAAGCCATCAACCTTCTGCGCCTTCTGCGCCTCACCGGTTGCTGGCGAGGACTCTGATGCGACAGTCGTCAAAGAAGAAGAGGCACCAGTATCATCAGAACTGGTGTCGAGCGACTCGGCAGCGAACGTCATGCCGCCCTCCGCCGTTGGCTCTTGGACGAGAACAACAGCAGCAGCTTCAGGTACAACAGCAGTTTCAGGTTCAACTGCAGAGGTGGCCGCTTTTGATGCCTCGGCGACAGCGTACGGTGATTGTGGCACGACAGCCGTCGGCTTAAAGTAACGAGAGCGGTTTTGGTTTAAAACCTCCTGGTACAAATCCGCATAAGAAATGTTCGACGGAACCATGAACATGAATGGCGGGTCGAATCGCTTTGCGCCAAACGAGTTGGTATCGACGCGCTGGTCTTGCTGGGCCACGATGATTCGTGTTTGCCGAGTGTCTGAAAACGCCTCGCAGCCTTCAAAAGCAACGAGCACAACTAGAGCATCACAAAGGCAAGAGAGAGAGACACGTTGCAACAAAAATCAGAAACACAAAGCCAAGACGACAAAGTTGTTTCAACCCTCCGCATTCAACCAACTTACAATTCTCGGCCACGGCATCGAGGGGCTGAGTCCGCGGAAGCGGTTGAAGGCGGTTGTAGTCTTGCACAGACAAGCACAGCTCATCGGCAGCGTCGACGGACAGACCGGCCAGGCGCGCCAGCTCGAGCCTGACATCGTGCACCGTTCCACTGGGGTCGGCATTGACCAGAAAGCGCGTCGCCTGGCGAGTTGGATCCAGCCACACCATAGTAATGATAAACTTGCGCAGGACAACTTGCTTGGGCAAAGGCAGCGAGAGGTACATGAAGGGATCAAACTTGACCGAGCGACGTCCGCAGCCCGGGCAGACAAGAGTCGATTTCAGCTGGCCCTGGAAGTTGTCCACCACAAAGCTGTTGTTTCGCAGCTGGTGGTCCTTCCACGAGTCCACGGCGAGCTGCAGCTCGAGCAGAATGTTGCCCGTGCCGTTTCCCTCGCGCACCTCCACACACGGCTTTTTCAAAATGCGGTTGAGGTCCTCATGGATGGCGTCCATCAGGTAGGCGAGAAATTCTTGCGCGTCATGCTGCAGGCTTCCCTGGAATTGTGGCGCAAACTTGAATCACACAACAACAAAAAGAGTGAGTCGGCTGAAAACGACAACGGCGACCAAAACCCGAGGCTGTTTTTCCCCCCTCCTCCTATCATTACCTTCACCAAGCCACTCTTGAAATCGTCGGGACGAATGCACTTGAACCGACCAGACCACAGATCTTTGACCAGATGGGCAAGTTGCGAAACAACCTCGCCTTTCGTGCCCAGGTTGTTTTTCGTGTTGATTTCGTCCTTGAACCGCGAGCCAATAAAGTACTCGCACAAGACGTTCGTGTTGCTGATACACTGCAGGACGGAATTCATAAAGCACGTGTTGCCAATGTTCACGAGACCCGTTGCGCCGAGCGGTGCGCTGCCTGGAGGCGTTGGAAGCGAGGCAGATCCAGCCATCCCTGACGACCACAACGGTCCATTTGAAGCGCTGGTCGAGGCGGTGGATGAGCTCTTGAGACCCGCCCAGGGCGTTTTAATCCCGCTTGAGGTTGTGCTGGATCCGAGGGAGGCGCTGCCAGCTGGCGACGAATTGGGGGCGGCGGGAGCACTGGAGCTTCTGTAGTCACCGTGTTGTCAAGGGGAAGTGACGTGTTGTCAGGGGAAGTGAGAGAAACGACCGTGATGATACAAAATGATGAGCAAACCTAAGAAAACTTGACAAACATACCCGTTCGTGCCAGAACTTTGCTCGCTCTTCGATGACGAGGTCGACGCGCGCTTCTTCCAGCGAGAAAACAAGCCAGTGCGGCCGCGCGCTTCCTCGGTGCTGCCTGCCGAGTCGGTGCGCGAATGCCCGGACGATGCGACAAAAGGGGTGATGATCTCCTTGCTGTTTGCAGCATGGAGGGCCGGTGTGCTGGAAGAAGTCGCAAAGTTGGTTGATGCGGCATCCTGGCCGCCGTCGAAGGGGGTGGGTGGGGCGGTCAGAACACCTGATGCGTGCGTCTCGTGGTGCCGTGTGGGCGAGCTTCCGTCGGAACTGCCTCGATGGTGCGTCAAAAATGGTGTGGCTGGAGAAATGACGAGGGTGAGTGCTGGTTTGGCGTCGGACGACGAGGCCGAGACGGAAGGCGGTGACAACGGGGAGACGCCGTCCGAGTCGGTGACTGCGAGTTGGACGCTGTTTCCGCCAAAGCTGCCCTCGCTCGACTGTGACACGGTGGACGCAGTGTGCGTGTGTCTGTTTCTGCTCGTGTTGATGGTCGAAGCCGATCGCTCGTCGAACGATTCTGCATCCCGTTCTGACGCGTTTGCAGATGTTTCCGTCTCTTGCTGTATGCTCCCGTTTCTCGAGTGCTTTTCGCTACTACTTGCTTGAGCTTTTCCGCCTACACAGCAGACAAAGTTGTCCGCCAAAAACAAATCATACAACATTTGACGTGAGTGAGTTAAGAAAAATTTCAGCCAAAACCAAAACCAAAACCAAAAAAAAAAAAAAAAAAAAAAAAAAAAAAATCCGGTCATAAAAATAAACCAGCAAAAAAATTAAGCTTCAATAAGCTTATTGTATTGTTTTTCAAAGAGTCTTTTTACCTGTCGCTTCGTGATGTGATGGCTTGGATGTCACATGAGGAGCAGCATGATGGGGAGTAATAACGGTCGTTGCACTCGGAGCGGTGGTGGTCGGGCAGGGACCAAGCTCGGCCTCCGCGTCAGCAGCACTCACTGCATAGTCGCACCGAGTCCGTCCGCCCGCGGCTGCTGTTCGGCCTGCGCTCTTGCGGCTGTGACTGCGCTTGCCTGTGTATTTGCCAAGGTCATCAAGGGGCAAAGGGAATGAGAAGCAGGGCGGTTTGTTTGCCGCAAGTTCGAGGAGAGAGTGGAGTGGGTCAGTTGTGGTCGGCGAACGTCAAGGTGCACTTCCAGCGTCATGGTCTGTCGCTGAAGCATGTTCAACATGCTCTTTTGTTTCGTATTCACTCTCCGTTGTATGGTTTGAGCGAGAGTGAGAGAGCAGAGACCAAAGAGCGAGAGAGAGAGAAGGGCAAACAGTTCAATGACAACACACAACACGGCGCGTCACTCCGACAGCATTGAACATTCGAGCCAGAGCGCCAATGAGCGAGGGAGTATCAGACTGAGGGAGAGAGTGTGTGCTTATGTGTAAAGGGTGAGTGGGGGGGGGGAAGGTACCTTTGAATGAAAGCAGGCGACCCAGCACGGAAGTCGAATGGTGCGGAGTCGTAACGGCAGCAGCGGCAGCGGGAGTCGCAACGGCAGCGGCGGCGGCGGTGGGGAGGTCAGGCCCAGTGCTGCCAGCGGACATGGCCAGAGAAACAAAGACAGAAGGGAGAAGGGAAAAAGAGAGCGAGTGTGTGAGATTGAGTGAGATTGAGTGAGTTGTGTGATACAGCGAAATGAACGAATTGCTGAATGGAAGAACAAAAACTGAGCTCGTCTCAGCAAGGTTGAAAAATAAAGATGGAAGACAAAGAAACATGAACAGAAAGCAGAAGAATCAGAACAACGGAGCAGAACAACGGAAGCAGAAGAGCAAGCCGAAACAAGGACAAGAAGAAACTTGAGCAACAGACAACGCGAGCAGAAAGAGCAAAAACGATAAAACTGAATAAGAGACAATGTTGGCACTGATTTAGAAAGCGACAGGTGGATGGATGGGAAGGGAGAGCGGCAACCAATGAGACCACAATGCGATGAGATTGTCCGTCTCAGAAATCACCGTCCATTTTTTTGCTCTGCTCCATCTATTTCCACCTGTGCTCAGCCATCGATTCGAATTGCAATGCTCCCATGATGTCTGAGCAAAAGGCGAGCACTCTTAGTTTTTTTTGTTGATCACCATCCTTCAATCTTCATTCTTTATCGCAATCAACCAGCCGCATCCATACAAACTACAGCCAGGCCACACAGAAGCGCGCGCACATCCCCCAATCGATCAGATCCAACAATGGGCCGCGAAGAAGATCTGCTGCAGGCTGCCAAGGCCGGCAATGTGGACGCGGTCCGACGGCTGCTGGGCCAGGCGGGCGACGCGGAGGCATCATCCTCTGGCTCGGAGCGGTCTTCTGTCTCTGCTGGGTCGTCTGGCGCCGGTGGCCCGGGCTCTGGCTCTGGCTCTGGCTCTGGTGCGATGGCCACTGCAGGGCGGGTGGCTGCGCTGCGTGTGGTCAAGCAGCTCGACTCGCTGCTGGGCAAGAAGCCATCGGTCAACTGCAAGGACGAAGCGGGCCTGACACCCTTGCACCACGCCTGCCTCGCCGGCCACGAAACAGTCCTCGAGGCACTCCTCAGGGCAGACGCGTCGCTCGTCGTCAAGGACAACAAGGGTACGTACGTCTCAACCGAGAAATCGAAACCGGCACAACAATACAATGGGACGTATCATCATCAACCCAAAAAAAAAAAAAAAAAAAAAAAAAAAAGCCCAAAACCAGCTGATTTTGCCGATTTTTGAGCAAGCGTGATTGCTGGCTGTTTGCGAGGTGAAGTAGCGCGAGAGAGAGAGAGAGGCGGAAGGGCGGGTTGAGATTGAGAGTGAAGCGATTTACTCAGTTTCATGAATGAAAGGGGGAAAAGCAGAGGAAGAAGAGGAGAAGTGGAGGAAGGGGGATAAGAAAAGCACAAGACAGCGAATCTTTCGCTTTGGTTGAATCAAACCTCCGAGAAAAACCCGAGTTGGGTTGCATTGAAGATACGTTGGGTCGCTGGTGGGGAAAAGGTGACTCTCGTACTTTGATCTGACTTGCATCTGATTTCACCGTTCTTGAAGGAGATGGGAAAGGTGTGTGTGTGTGGATCAGGAAAACAAACTGTGGCTTGGAGTCTGAGACTTGTGGAGGCTGTGTTTTGGGGGGTGGGTTTTCTGAGGTGGTTTTTTTTTCTTTCTTTTGTCAAAAACGTATCATTCGCGATCACCCTTTGCTGTCGATCTACCTTCTGAAAAACTTTGCTCAACCTCAATTTAACGTTGCTTTTGGACAGGATTCACACCGCTGCACGCCGCGTGCTGGGGCGGACACCTCCTACTCGTCGAGCGACTCATTAACGAAGTAACGTCGGTCAACGACGCATCCAAGTCGGGCGATACGGCCTTGCATTACGCAGCCACGAACGGATCTGCAGACATTTGCTCGCTCTTGCTCAAGCGAGGCGCAGACGCCTTCCTTCGCAACGCTGCAGGCGAGGCGCCCATTGACCAGGCTGCGCTGTACGGTCGCCTCGACGCTGTCCGCGTTTTGGTCGAAGCCACGCGCAAGCAGCTCGGCCGCTACTCGTCCGAGAAACACTCACCCCTGCATGCTGCAGCGCGCAACGGCCACGTGCCCGTTGTCAGACTGCTGCTGCAGTATGGCATGGACATTAACACGCGCACCACGAACGGCACCTGTCTGCACGAAGCCGCGCTCTACGGCAAAAAGGACGTCGTCCGCGTCCTCCTCGAGTCTGGCATTGACGTTGAAATCCGCAACTCGGGCAACGAAACGGCACTCGACACCTTGAATGCGTTTGCAAACAAGACTGGCCATGAAATTCGCGACATGCTTGTTGGTGAGGATTGATTTTCGAGATGTAGTCGATGAGCTTGTGTGTGTTTGTGGTCTCAACATTCTTTTTTTTTTCTTTCTTGTTTCTTGTTGTTGGCACCCGCCCCTCTCCAAAACTCCAAAACACCGACACAATGACCAGCCAAAATGCACGGCAATGCCGGAGGAAACAGCTCTGGAGCCGTCTGCGTGCGAGCCACCATGGACTACACTCCAAGCGCGTACGACGACAAGTTGCTTGGCTTCAAGGAAGGCGACATCATCACTTTGATTGAACAACCCGAGAATGGTCGCTGGAAGGGCAAGTTGAACGGTCGCACGGGCATCTTCCCGCACACGTGCGTCGAAATGCTCGACCCCGCCAGCCCGCGAGCAAGCAGCAGTGTGCTCCCTCACAAGCCCGTAAACTCCAAGGACGACCATCATCATCATCATCATCATCCTCCGTCAAGAGGCGGGCATCATGACGGGCATGAGATTGCCAACTGGCTTGCTTCGGTGGAGCTCTCGCAGTATGCCGACATGCTCATTGTCAACGGCTTTGACAAGCTGGGCTTCATCTCGGAGGCCGTGCAGGAGGACTTTGCACTGGCGGGCGTCACCATGGTTGGACACCGCAAGAAGCTTCAATGGACGGCCGAGAGCGTCGCTGCCAAGACTCCCTTCCAGCACACGCGACCGCGCTCGGTGCGCCAATGGCTCGAGGGCATCGAGTTGCTCGAGCTGGAGGCCACCTTGCTTGACAATGGCTACGACGACATTAACTTTGTTGCTCAAATCACGGACGAAGAGCTCATCAGTCTGGGCATCAAGCTGGTCGGCCATCGTCGTCGCATTCTGAACTCGCTCGCTCGCTTGAATGGTCTGCCCACGCATGGCATTGTGCTCCAAGCCACCCCTCCCGTGGTTCCATCGGCGTCGACACTCGCGCAACATCATACCGTCAGCTCATCTGCCGCATCTGCTGAGCCGGCCAGTGCCCCCAGCTTTTCTCGCGGCACCAAGCCTGGCGCCAGCGCCGCCGCCGCTTCGTCCGCTGCTTCGACCGTGGCTGCTAGCTCGCCGAAAATCGTCGGCGGTGTGTACAAGTTTAATCCAATTCGCGAAGTCTCCCACGACGACACTGTGATCAAGACATTTAGTGGTACGCTGCTCGGCAGCGAAGAGCTCGAAACGTACAATGGGCCAGCCTCTGCTCTCCGAACACTTTCACGCTTCCGGGACATGGTCCAGGGCATCCCGAGCAACATGAGCATCACGCTGTTCGACCACGTCATTGATGTGACGGATCGGCATGAGACGGTGGTTTGCAGCATTTCCGCCCATCAGCTCATCCTGTGCTGCGAAGATCCCGTCAATCCCCAGTTGTTGTGTATCGTCGCCAAGCTCGAGTCAAACACGGATGCCTGCTACGTCTGCCACAACTTCCAGGTCCGGTCTGCGTCAGAAGTCATGCAAACGCTCATGCAGACCTACAATAGCGCGCAACGCACGTCCTTTATTGCCACGCCCGTCGCCGCTCGCCCGATCGGCCAGTCGTCCATCATCAACATTAAGGATTTGCCGGCCGCCCCTCCGCTCGCCAAGTCGCCTCAAGTGGCGGCTCCCTTGGAAAGTCCCAAGGCAAGTGCAGGCCCTGCAGAGGACAACTACGAGCAGCTCCATCTGTATGCGACGCCCACTCTCCCAGCTGCTGCTCCCGCGGTCAACATTTACGACCATCCTGGCCAGCACTCTACCACGTATGCTCCCACGCCTGCTCCTGCAGTGGCTGTCGCGGCTGCTCCTGCACAATACGGGAATGACTTGTACGCCAAAGTCAATCGCGGCCCATCGCAGCAGACTCCTTCTCCTCCAGTGGTTGTTGCTCCGACGACGACGACGACGACGACGACGACGGCTTCCGCTGCTTCTGATGTCTACACTCGCGTGGGCCCGACTGCAGCTGCAGAAGACCCCTCTGCCCTGTATGCGCAAGTGAAGCGGCCAGGCAAACTGCCGTCGCCGTCGCGCTCTGGTGCCACGACGCCTTCGCATCCATCCCCCGTCGGCCATCTGCCAGCGTCATCCTCCTTCTCCTCGCTGGATGCGCTCGTCATGGGCATCGACAACAGCGTGCTCCAGTACAACAAGGCCAGTTCACGCTTGGTGGTCCAACCCAATCCCGACCCGATCAACAACAACAACAACAACAACAACAATTCGAGTTCGCGTCTCGTGGTTGAGCCAAACCCATCCCCGATTCTTCCCATCCACGACCCTGCGCCTGCTGCTGCGTATGCTCTTCCCTACAAGTCGAGCGCAAGCACGCCTCCCACTTCTGCTCCCGATGCGTCTGCTGTCTATGCCGTCGTGAACAAGCCCGCGAGTCGGAATGCTGCAGCGACGCAAGCCCACGCGCCTGGCTCCACGTCTCTCCCTGCCATCAAGCCAGCTCCATTGGCAGCTGCAGTCGTTTCTCCGGCTGCCAACGCCCATGATGACGTGCTGTCACAGCTCGATGACTTGGTGTCTGCTTTCGAAGTGGAAGAAGACGATGATCTCCCAGTCTTCGAACAGACGAAGCCTGTAGCGGCACTGCCGCCAAAGCCTGTTGCTGCTGCTGCTGCTGCCACTGGTCCTGCTGCTGCCTTGTTGGCGCCAAAGCCGACGTCTGCTCTCGCCGCAACGCCGAATTTACCCCCGAAGCCAGCAACGACACCCTCTCCGACTCCTCCCACACCTGTCGAGTCCCCGGTTGTGTTGGCTCCCAAGCCTGCTCCTTCTCCAGTTGTCGCTGCTCCTGCGCCTGCTCCGGTTCCTGCACCAGCTCCAGCGCCAGCGCCAGCATCCCCTGGTGCTGAAACACCCGCCGTGTCGCACCCGAATCCCACTGCAGTCGCCCCGAAGCCTTCCGCGCTTACGCCAAAGCCCGCTGCAGTTGCTCCCAAACCCACAATTGGCGCGCCAAAGCCCACCGCTGTTGCTCCGAAGCCAACTGTTGGTGCGCCAAAGCCAACACCCGCAGCCTCGTCCCCCAAACCTGCTGCAGCTGCTGTTGTTGCTGAGCCTGCTCCGTCTGCTCCGTCTGCTACGCCTACTCTGGCTGCTTCTGCAGCGCCGGTCGCTGCTCAAGCAAGTGCCCCGTCGGCCTCGTCGGCTGAAGCTGTTGCCCCTGCTGTTGTTGCTGGGGCGTACAAGCCGGCAACAATTGACAACCTGAGCAACTTTGTGGATGATTTGATGGCTGGTCTTGACTTTTGAGTCTGAAAGCTAGCTCTTGCCATTATGTGTGTTTGTTTGATTTGGTTCGTTTGTCCATCTTTTATGTGTTAGATTCGTAGAGTACACAATACATCACTAGCGTCATTTTTAGCATATTTTTGTGTATTGTAAATTCAAAAACAAGAGCACATAGCGAGCACACTAAACAGTCAAATCAATTGAGAGGTGTTTAGAACAAGAAGGGAGTGAAACGCCAGGCGCAACCAGGCAGCCGATGCATTTTTGTCTCCCCCGAAAACATTCAACGTCACAAAACGAAAACAAGACTCACAACGCAAACGAAAACCAAGAGTTGAAATATCGTGGACGCATAAACAAGGATGGGTCAATAAACAAAGCGGGAGGGAAAAGCAGGCCTCTTGTCGCAGGTGTTGGGGGAGGGAGGCTTTTTATATCAAGCCGACGCTGCGCAGATTTGCCTGAACGATAGAGTCGGTAACGGCGCCCAAAATGACCTTGACATTCTCCGTGTCGGTGGCGCAGGTGAAGTGGTAGTAAATCTTTTTCTCGTTTTGCGAGCGCTTGAACTGCTCCAAGAATTTGCGAACGAGGTACTTTTTGACGTCGTCCGGGTCGGTGGGGTTGCCTGGCAAGGAGGACAAGCGAGAGTGAGCACCAGTGCGCGAAGCGGGGAATTTGAAAGTACAAGTTGCTTTTTTTACCTTTGAAGCGGGGGAAGACTGTGTTGAACGGCACCTCCTTCAGCTTGGCATCAAACAAGTCAGTCTTGTTCAGGAAAAGGATGACGGCAGAGTCATCGAAATAGCGGTTGTTGGCAATGCCTTGGAAGGTCTGGAGCGCTTCGTCGAGACGGTTCTGCAAGAATTGGTGTCAGTGTGGTCAGCGAAAAAGTGCAGATTGTGGTTTCGAACAATGCAAACGAGGCCGCTTACCACCGTCGCGTCTTCGAATAGGCGTTGGTTATAAGCGGCAATATCCGCCACAAAGATGACCGCGTTGACGTCGCCAAAGCATTGCACCCACTTGCGGCGCTCGGAGCGTTGACCACCAACGTCCACCATGCTGCAAGAGATTGAGAATGAGATGATTGCCGAAAAAAAAAAAGGCGAAAATTCAGACAACAAAAAACTTCAAGCAGTGATGAGACTACTCACCGGAAGATGATGTCGCGGTACTTGAACTTGGTTTCAACCATGCCGGTTGTTCGGACACGAGTGCGAACAATATCCTGCTGAGTCGGCATGTACGTAATGTCGAAAATGCGTCCAATGCTCTCAAGGAAGCTAAAAGCAGAAGGAGAAAAAGGGAGAGTGAGTTTAGAAACAGCAAACAACAACAACCAGTCTCGAAAGCAAAAAAAAAACCCTCGCAAAAACTCACTAGGGACCAGAGTCGAGCATGTAATACTCGTTGCGACGAGCGTAGGCGGCTTGAACGCCAGAGTCGGCCCAAATCTTTGCCATAACGCCAGCAGCGGACTCCACCATGGCGTCAGAGATGACGGTTGGCAACTGGCCGAGCTGGGTGACCGCCTGGGTCGTGTCGGGGGCTCCAAACTCAATGTTCAGCTTGGTCATTTGCTCGAGAATCAGCTTGATGGCCTCGACCGAGTTTTCGCGAACCGTCTTCTTAAAGTCAAAGAGCTCGCCTTCGTTGAAGTTGTCGCTGTGGATGATGCGCATCTGCTTGACGAGGGTGGATTTTCCGGATTCACCGGTGCCTGAGGGAGAGACAAGAAAAATGGGTTGAGACAAAAGGTGAGGTTATTGAGCACATTTGTAATGGCAATTGAAGATATAACATCCCCCAATCGAATCAACAAAGTAATAATCATGCAATGTCATCATCTACTTATTGGCAGATTGGGGCAAAGTGGAGACATGTTCAACGGAGACCGCTTTTAGGCTTGGCAAACCTCCACCGCTGCTCCCTTCACGCCTTCCTTCAACCCCCATCGATCGGTCTCATTCGATTCCAGCGGTTTTCATATTGCCATTTCGCTTGTATCAACCGCCACGCAAAATCCAAAACTACCCAATTGTAAGAGTGTTGTGTTGTGATTTGAAAACTTGGACGACGGTCGGGTTGTCAAGGAACAAAAAGAAAAAAAAACCGAGACCACAAGCCAAAAAGCGGGTCAGGCTGAGTTGTGAGTTGTGATCGAAAAGACGAGACGCCGTGTCGTCAATCATTATCATCACTATCATCATCATCATTCAGTTGTCGGAATCGAGAACGAGAAGTCGCTCGTCAATGACAGCCAATTGGGGAATAAAAATTAAGCAGAAAAAAAAAAAAAAAAAAAGGAAAATCTTGTAACAAGGTGTCAGAATGGCAAAAAACACAAAACAAAGGGGGAAAGTGTTTGCCGGGAATTGAAAGAAGAAGAAGACAAAGATAGAGACGAAGATGAACAGGACGAAGCGAAGGGCGAAGGGCGAAGAAAGGCGTCGACAAGCGAGCCGGGAAGTCATGATGGCGAAAGGCACAAAAGCGACCAACCCAAAAAAAAAAAAAAAAAAAAAAAAAAAAAAAGCGCCATTTCAAGAAGCAGTGTCACCAAAAGAGGCGTCGTTGTTGGTGTGTTGTGTTGTGTTGGAATCACAGACGAGAATCAACAAGGAGGGATGATGATGATGCTGATGATGAGAGCGATTAAGAAGATGATGGGGTTCGAGATGAGATGGAAAGGGGAGAGCCAAAGGACCGCTGGGAAATCAATTGGAAAAAAAAAAAAAAAAAAAAAAAAAAAAACAGGCAGTGAAATCCCGACTGCGGTTAATAATGGTGCGACAGTCCTCGTTGCTGAAGAGGCTGCTGCGTGCATGGCCCATCGCTCGTTGAAGGGGTTTGCTAATACAGTGATGGCAAGCTCAGAGTGTGGTTTGGAAGTGGAAGGAAAGCGTGAGGCGGAAGAGGGTTGAGGGAAAAAAAAAAAAAAAAAAAAAAAAAGAGACAGCGCGAAAAGATCGAAAAAAAAAAAAAAAAAAAACACGAGCGCGAGCGCAGCCACCCACACTTTGCCCGGCTCTCCTGCTCGCGCGCTCTGACGCCCGCTCTCTCGTTAGAGTGCTCAGTCGAGAAAGCAGCTCAACACGAAACCGCTGCAGAAACAGCCGCGCAACTACCCCCTCGCGAACTAGTCCATCAACGAAATATTAGCCGTGGCTTTTGCGGTTCTGCTCCGAATCTCCGCCTTGTTTTAATCTGCCTGTCGCTGTCTGTGTGCTGTACCTAGCAGGAGCATCTTGATGGTCTGGTCCTTCTCGGCAATCTCAGACTTGATCTGCTTCTCAATCGCGCGGTCCTTGACGGCGCTTTCGTCCTTGGCATCGACACTGAGACAGGCGCCCATTTGTTGCGTGGTTTTTGACAAAAAAAAAAAAGGAGTGACAGGTTAAAAACTGAGACAATTCCTCATTCAATCAACACAAAAATGGCGTCTAATCACGATGAAGTGGGGAAAGAAGCCGAAAAATTTCAAGATGGAAATGAAACTGAATGTAAATCACTTTTGGAGAAACGTTGTCAAATGGCTCTGGTTCAAATTGCTTCAACATCGGTGATCCTGGCCCGATCTACCCTTGCCCATGTTACACCCCAACCCATATCTGTTAGCTCAGTGCTCAATATATTTCGTATCTACCTATTCCTCTATTCCATAGTACTACATGCAAGCGAAAATTCAGAAAAACAAAACAAGCGAGCCAAAAACCACCACCCCTCTCGTCACTGTGGAGAGCCAGGCAGCTGGATGCGAACGTCAAACGATGGGAACAAACTAGGCAACTGCAGCGAAATTTCGTCGGGACAGGCTTGGGCGTGTACCACAGCCTTTTGTAATCCCTCGGACGCCATGCGCAGCAGGACTTGCCCAATCACGGCATAGTCCACATTGGAGCCTGCTGGCAGCTCGGCCGAGAGAGTACGGTCGGCCATCGAAAAGTACGGAGCAACCGAAAGCGATTCGGATTGCAGCCGCACCCGCTTGGTCTCGTGCGATTCTGTCGTAACCACTACACTTGGTGCGACGGCAGCCAGCTCGGTCGTCGAAGCATTCCGCTTGAGACCGCCTTTGGGTGCGAAAGCGCCTAGCGCTCGCAATGCCAATTTCGCCGAGCTGCCATTATTGCCAGCTTGCGATGGCCCAGATGTGCTTGATTCTGGTTGTTGTATTGGTGGCGAGGTTTCGCTCGAAAACAGCGAGTCCACCGTGGATTGCACTGTTCGCAACAATGCGCTTCCAAAGCGAACCGCATGTGCAGCGGCCTGTTGAGAGAGCAAAAGAATGTCGTCAAATAATGGAGTCACGAAAAAGTCATCAAAACAGCGTCAAACAACACTCAATACGTTACCATGAATTTGCGACGAGCATTGAATCGCCGAAGTTCGGTAAGTGTGCTTTCTAGGTGATCGCTGGACGGCCGGTGTGGAAGCTACAGAGGGCCAATTGTCAAACATTGAGTAACAACAAGAAACAACAAATCTGTTCCTGCATCTCTTGGGGAAACACTGACCGCAATCCACTCGTGTCGCATCGAATCGGATGCGGAAAATCGCTTGGCAACGTCTATTTGCATGAGATTCTCAATCAAGTCCTTGGCAGCTGGCGTGATCAAGTCCCACTGCGGCGACGGAAACGAATAGACACCTGCCTCGCATTTGCGCAGTAGCTCGCGGTCGCTTTTATCGTAGAATGGAGGAAAGCCGACCAGTCTGCGATTGAAGGGGAAGCAGGAGAGCAACAACACAGTGCAGTTGGCAAAAGAAGCTAAACAAAACCCAACATGCGTATCTCGTTCTCCTGACAATTCAACACGTACAGAATGTATAGAATGACGCCGATACTCCACAAGTCGACCTTTTCATTGTAGCCGTGCCCACGGAGCACCTCGGGCGCGACATAGCCGGGTGTGCCGCATCGCCGAGACATGGCGTGCGGCTGGTTGCGCACGAAGCGCTCGGCAAGCCCAAAGTCGGAGATTTTTACGTGTTGGATGGAGTCACCAAGTGCGTCGTTTGCGGGCTGGATGACGCACAGCAAATTCTCGGGCTGTCGAGCAGAACGAAGGGAATGAGGAAGGTGGGGTGAGTCCGCAAGAACCAAAAGGCGATTCCCCGACACTGGCTTTCGACTGCCAAACCATAGCGAATGAATGACTCCTTTCTAGCTCAAACGCTGAGAGATGAAATACGCGCACCTTCAAGTCACGATGGCAAATGCCGCGCGAATGCATGTGTTCGAGCGCGCTGAGAATTTGCCGCATGAGAAACCGAGCATCCATTTCCGAGTAGAACTTTCTCGAGACAATGTGATCAAAGAGCTGGAATTGGGAGTTGCGAGGTGAGTGTAAGTGTGAGTGAGTGACGATGCAAGTGCAAATGCTAGTTGTTTCGCGAGATGTCGCTTGTTTACCTCGCCAGCTGGAACACTGAAAGTTGCCAATCGCCACACGCCAAGCCAAGATCCGCCATTATACGCACACACACACACACACACACACACACACACACACACACACACACACACACACACACACACACACACACACACACACACACACACACATCGAAACACGTCAACAAGCGAGTCAGCACTGATCGACAGCATGCAAGAAGAACACACTCCACCCATTGACTCAACTATTCCAGGACCATGAACATGAATCGCGGACTGGGGAAGTGCGCGTGGAGCTGGACAATGTTGACGTGTTTCAACAGCGCCCAGATGGCGACCTCGTGCTGGACTGCGTCGGCCTCGAGCGAGACGACCTTGACCGCGTAGGTTGTCCGTGTGCTCTTCTCGACTGCGCGCACGACGACCGAAAAGGCGCCCTGGCCAAGCAGGTCGGCAATCTCGTAGCCCCGCTGCTCTACTAGAAACAGCTCCTTGGACGTGTACAGCTCATTCCCTAAGACGAACATGGGACAGAACGGACGTAAGTTCAATTGCCAACAGAAATGGCGGGAAGTAAGCGTTTTCTCTCGCTTTTCGCTGCTTTCATCGCTCGACGATTGTCACTCTCTCTCACGACATTCGCTCAATGCTTCTACGCTTTTGGACTGTCTCTCCTCATTCACTTTGATGCTTGGTCTGCGGTTGGTCGTCCAGTCTGTTGTGGGTTTTTCGTAACGATAGTTTGATGCGCTTGGATAATGAGCGCGCTTTTTCGACTTACACTCGTCCATGATTGGTGTTGTTGCAGCAGCAGCAGCAGCAGCAGCAGCAGGAGCGGCGGCTGGAGTCAGAGTCTCAGCTGTGGCAGTGACTGAAGCCGCAGCACAAGTGGGATTCGCATTCCGCGGCTCTGCCTCTGCCTCTGCCTCTGCTCCTGCTGCCTCTGCTCTGGCGGATCCACTTCCAGGCGCCCCTGCTGCGACGGCTGTTGGTGCTGATGCTGCAGAAGCGGCGGCCGCGCGGGCTGCAACGGCGATCGAGTGAAACATTCAACAACCAACGCACGCCACTGTCGCCAATCAGAAACACACTTCTGCAAACGTGAAGAAAATCTGAAAAAAGAAGACAAAGTCAAAAGTTCAAAAAGTCAAAAAGTCAAACGAGAAAGACTGGATTTCAATACAAGAAAACTAAACTGTGAAAAAAATAAAGCAAACAAAGCATTGAAAAAGAAGAACACAAAAAAAAAAAAAAAAAAAAAAAAGAAGATGAAAAAACAATGGAAAAACTTCACTTTTTTTTTTTTTTTTTTTTTTTGCCGCGAATTTCTTACTTTTGGCGGGAAAACAACGAATTGTGTTTGAACGAGACATGTCGAGCGATTACGAGCGGCAACGCCAGGCCAACATCCGCGCGAACATGGAGCGACTGGCCATGCTGGGATTGGCCAAAGGACCAGTGGCGGCGAGCGCGGCTGCGGTGGCTGGGAAGGTCGCAGCAGCGTCTCCACGAGCAGCAGCGCGGCGAAACACCGTTGCCGTTGGTGAAGCCCCAAGCCCGGCGGAGACTGCGCCTGGCACGACTCTGCGACGGTCATCGAGATCTAGAACAAGCACATTGAGGTACGAGCCAGAGCAAGAGGACGATGTCCAAGACGAGCGCAAGCCGGCAGCGCCACGAACGAAACAATCGCCCAAGGTGAAACACGGCGGCGAATCATCTCGACCGTCATCGTCATCGTCATCCGGGAGATCGTGCAAGGACATGATGGCGTGCGTGGAAACACTGCAAACAACCTGGCTCGGAAGACAGCTGCCTCTGCCTGCCGTCGGAGCTGGGCTGAAAACCGCTGTGATGGCACTCGTGGCGGGAACGCGATCTGCGCCTGCCTTTCCGCGGCTGTCGGGCGTCCAGCAGTGGAAGAATGCTGTCTGCTTGTTTGTCAATCTGGACGGCAATACGTATGACAACACGTTCAGTCAGGCACAGGGCGGATTTGCCATGACATGGTTTGCCTCTGCTCAGACCAACATGGATTCGCCAGTCATTCAGCGGCTATTGAAGGCCGAGCGGTATGATCTCAAGAACGACGACAGCGCACCGTCACGGCAGTCGACAGAAGCTGGATTGCACAAGCCGGAGGTGGTGCTATTGTTCTGCCGCTTGCTCATGGAGCCCTACGTTTACTGCGGTCGTCTCGCGTTGGTTTGGGTCGACCCAAAGACCAGTCCGCTCAAGTTTACATGGTTTTTAAAGGATTCGTCAAGTATGATGGCCAGCTGTCCTGATTTCCAGGCAATGCTGCCGCCGCAACTTGGTGGAACGCGTGGCACCTCCAACGATGACGATTCGGCAAACGAAGACGAAGAAGAAGAAGAAGAAGAAGAAGAAGATCAAGATTAACTTTGATCATTGTACATTACTGTATTAGTAAAAACAAAGGATTTGGACAAAAACGATTCAAGGTGTGGTGCGCTTAACAACAACGCAAACCAGATAAAGAAGAAACAAAATATAACACACCCTACACATCAAAGCTACCCGGAGCTGGTCGTGACGATGATCGGGCCCTTTCCAACGCTGGTGTCGTTCATGGGGGAGGTGGGGGAAGGTTGATGCGGGTGCGGCCGAGACGCGGGGTCGCTGGTTAACGAAGACGGCGAAACGCCAGCTGGGCGCTGCCCAGAAGCCGGCTTGCCATCGAGATGGTTGAAATCGGAAATTAACGGAGAGGTTGCAGTGGTCGGGGTCACTGGCGAGTACTGGCTCGAGGAAGTCCCACTCGAGTAGGACGACGCCGGGGACCGGGATCCTGCAGTCGGCATGCGCAGCGTTGCCAATGTCGGTTGCGGGTGGAATGCGCGATGGTGCTGTGCATGCAGTTGTTGCTGTTGTTGTTGCTGCTGTTGCTGTTGTTGTTGTTGCTGGAGCTGGTGATGCTGGGCGGAATACATTGCTGCGCGCTGCTCGCGCTGCCGAGCGACCTCGGCAAACATTTGCAGCTCTTGCTTGACCAGCGTGTCTTGGAATGCCTTGATGGTGGCTTTTCGCTGAGCCTCCCAAGACTTGTCGTGGATGACCACAACCGGTTTGGAGCGAGAGGCGTCGGGTTTTTCATTCAAAGAAAGTTGGTGGTGGTGGTTGTTGGACTGCTGCTGCTGCTGCTGATACTGTTGCTGCAGCACTTGAACATAGCGCTCAAACTCGTCCAAGGATATGCTCATGTCAAAGCCCAGCAGGAACAAAAACTCGGTTTCCAAATCGTTGAGCTCTTGGTTGGGGAGTCCGCCCACTTTGGCATAGAACGAGTTCTTGTAGTACTTGTCGTCAAAGAACTTTGTGGCAATCATGATGCTGACAATCAAGAGGCGGTGCACGTTGGCGTAGGAAAGGACGAGCGCCGGATGGTGCTTGCGGATGATGCGATCAATGTAGATGAGCGCAAAGAGGATGCACTCGGGACTGCACGGTGCGTACTTGGCAATGCGCTCGAGATAGTGCCGGATGGTGATGGCGGGCGTGCGCGATGCGTGGAAGCGTCCGCCGACAACGCCCGGCGGCATACGGCCATTTCGAGCCACCAGCAACTCCAAGACGGTGGCAACGACCGAGACAAGGGCTTCGCGCTCCTTGGCGTTGATCGAGTCTTCCGTAGCCGTGTCTGGCGGTGGAGCGCTGGTGGTCGCTCCGGCAGCCACGGGATGGAGGAAGGACCACGGGAGAGCGTAGCGACGGTATTGTGTTGACAGCAGCTGCGAAATGCTGGTGAGCTGTGAGATGGGGGCAGCTGGAGTCGAGTTGGACGAGGATTTTGCTTGTTGTTGGTGGGTGGGTGTCGTGCTGCTGTGAGTGGTCGAGTGGGTGCCACGACCAGCATTGGAGGAGGCTCGTGCTGGCAAAGGATGGATGGTTGCAGTTTGGCTGGGTGCCGCCTCTCCGACAGTCGGAGCTCTTCTTTCGGCTGTTTCGAGATGATGACCATCTGCCATAACGGGCCGAGCTTGATGCGTCGGCGTCGAGGCAGAACGCGAATGCCCGGGGAGTCTGACTCGCCCCGATGCGGCCTGCACCGGCGGAGGCGACTGAGCGGGACAGAGTCCGGCAGTGCCCAAGCTTGGCGGACTGGCTCCCCGGTCGGCGCGGTCGTAATCGCGGTCGTCTTCCGGCGACGCAGCTCGGCTGTCCTGGCTGCCGGCGGCTGGCTGATGATGGTGGTGGGCATTGCCAGCGAACGGCACAGCAGAAGAAGAAGAAGAAGAAGAAGAAGAAGAAGCAGTGGCTGGAGCATGATAAGAAGAAGTAGAAGCAGACTCGGAAGCAGCTGCTGCAGGTGATGACGACGAGGACGACGACGGCATGGCGCTGGCGAGGAACGGCGAGAGCTGTGTCGCTGCGGTGGAGGCAATGGAGTGGATGAAGTGGGCTGCAGCGGACGACAGCGTAGCGACGAGCGAGCGACTCCGCCGATGCCCCAGCGCGGGAGTCTCGCTCGTTGTGGTTGCTGTTGTTGTGGTAGTTGTAGGTGAGTACTCTGCTTCTACTACTGCGGTTGCGGCGGTGGAGCTGGGTCGCGGAACGGGCTCGGCGCTCGTTGGCGGCACTACCACCGTCGGCTGCGTCTCGGCTCCCGCCGCCATTGCGCAGGGTTCCCGGCATGCGGCGTCGCTCCCGCTGCCAGCACTGGAATCGCTGTCGCAATCTGAGAAACTTTCGTCCGGGGAGTCCGAGTCGAGGTCGGCGTCGGTGTCGGTGTCGGTGTCGGCTGCATCGCTCGTGTGGGGCGGCCAGTCGTTGCCGCTGCTCTGATCAGAGTTGCTGTCGTCGGAGGAGGAGTCGACGCTCGTCCCACGCGCAAGGCCGCCGATCGTTGGCCGCATTTGTAGAATAACAAGGAGTTAACAGAAGGGGGAGACGAGGGGGGGCGGGAGAAAGGAGGGAGAGCAACTCGGATGAGGGAATGAACGGTAAACAGTCAAAGGTCAAAATGCGTCTGAGGTTTTTGTGTGTGTGTGGGTGTGAAAAGTGTTGTCGGAAAAATATGGATTGAGCGACCAAAGGTTTGTGGGGTGCAAGCAACCAAGGTGGGAGGAGAGGAGGAGGTGAACTATGGGCGATAGATGGAGTTCTCAGCAGCACAGCCGCGTATGAATGGAAAAGTGATTCTCGTTCGACACACAACACAAAGAGATCCGAATCGCACAGATGGGGGAAAGTTGACCACAATTGTCTCATCCCTAATCAGTTTTTGACTCTTTTCTGAGTAAACGATGCTTGCGCATTCATTTTGTACGCTGCCAGGTTATGTTACGGGAAGCGACAACAATGCACTGCTCGCACATCAACTGCTGTTCATTCCACTTTGACTCAAAGAACAGGTCACGACGCGGTAAACTTGACTTCAGAAAGCCGCAAGGAAACCTCTTCGGCAGCGAGATACTCGAGCGCAGCCATTACTTCTCGACACTTGCGCAACGAGTCTGCCTCGGCGGTGATTGTGTCGTGCAAGACGGCAGACTGAATGGCCAGCTCGTGGATCTATGGTTTTGAACGGGGTGAGTCAACAAAAAACAAAACATGAAACGACAACGCGGCTGGCTACATGCTTACAGGTTGCTGATCTACCGCGGAAATTTGCGTTAGTTCCGATAAAAGTGCAGCACTTTGGCGTAGCTCGATGGCAATGTCGTCTACGAACCAGCTCCAAAGAATGAATCTATGACCAAACTCTTTTTTTGCAAAACACATCACACTGGTCTTACCTTGGTTGCCCAGGTGAATACCGCGTGTGGGAATGGTATGGGTTGTGGCAGAAATCGAATTTGCAAGCGCGGTATACGCACTCACGAAATCCGAGAGCTCAGCTTCGAGTTGGATCAAGAGATCATGCTAACAATTCAAACCAAAGAGTGTCGCAAAGCGTGTCAGTAAGACATCGATTGCAGCAATCCAAGCCAAACAACAAAAAAACCAACCTCAGACATCACCAGCTCTTCCGCACGCTGGGTGTGCTCGATGCTCCAGAGCTGTTGGCGAAGCAAGGAAACATCGTGGCGTAATTGCTCGACGCGCTGCCACAGGGCATAGATTTGTTGCTGATACACAAAAGCCGAAGGAGAATATTGAGTCAAATACAAACACCCGTCACGCTCTCTTCCCCTCGCTACGACCCAAAAGCAAGCGCCATTACCTCGGCCTGAACTTCTCGCGCAGCAAATGCCTGCTGGGAAGCGCTCGCAATGTAGCTCCACTGATACAGCTCGCACTGCAACAGCTCGATTTCGTTCTTGAGAGTAATGAGCAATTTTCCAGAAGAGGTCGTCGTCGGCATGGGTGCAACGGGGAGGCTAGCGTGAGAGGACCGACTGGCTGCGCTGGATGGTCGCGCTGAGCCAGCCGCTGCTGCTGACGATGATGTGGCTCTGGCTCCGGCTCCTGGAGCTTTATTACTCGTCGGAGTTTGCGACCCTGCAAACAAGGCTCGATTGACAGGCAAAGCAGGCCGTCGCGATGCGGATCGGGGAGCATTGGCCATGGAGGACTCGTCCAAGTTCGGTGTCTTTGGTGTTTTGGCGGTTGCAGCACTGCCCAAGCCGCTTCGAGACGCGAGTGTGGGTGTTTTGGCGGGGTGTGACAGGGAAGAAGAAGCTGTGGGCAAGGAATAGGACTGAGAACTAATGGACGAAGAGCGAGGACGAGACAAACTTGGTTGTGCTGCGCTGGAGGGTGTCTTTGCGACAGCAGCAGGGCGCGACACGGACAATGGTGGTAGTACTGCCTTTCCACCAGTCGCAGGTGCCGCGCGTGCACCCAGGATGGCTGCGGATGAGCGAGAGGAAACGGACTGCGGCGTGCTACTGACTGTGCTTGTCTTGCGCGCTGATTGAGGGGTGCTTGGTACAGCAAGACTGACACTGCCAGCATTCACTGCACCAAGAGACTTGCGGGCGGATTGGGGCGTCTTCAACCCAGAAGACGACGAGGTGATTGGGCCTTGCGATGCCTGTGATGCTTGGGTGGGCTGCATAAAGAGCTGTCGAGATCGAGAGGCAGACCCCGGTGGTGCGCCGGCTGGTGGTCGATTTGCACTGCTGGCAGAGGGGGCACTCGTGCCCGAGCCAGCAGCCGAGCGCGCTAAATACTTTGCCGCAATCTCCCGGCCGCGCTGGTTGATTTGCGCCGTGGCGGACGATGATGCGGCATTGCTATTGGAGGGAAACGACATGCTCGAGACATTCGACACGTCGGATGCTTCGGACGCGGCAGGCGACGTCGGTCTTGGTGCCCGCGACGATGTTGGCAACGTTCGCGAGGAGGAAGATTCGTTTGCCTGGACCGAGAGTCGCGCGCGTGCCAGAGCCGCGACTGTTGCAGCACTGAGCTGAGTGGTAGGTGCGCTCGAGGCTTGGGTTTTTGATTTTGTGGCACTTGGTGGTGGTAGAGCGGAGGATGCTGCTAGAGTGGTGCCGTTCTGTATGGGGGTTGTTTGGATTAGTGGTTGATAAAGGTCAGCCGCTCGATTGTTCTTTCTCTGAATGCAAACAGAGGCTTAGTTGAGAATGGTTACTCACTGTAGATGAGGACGAGGCGATCCATGAGGGAGGTGGATCGTCAGGAGCAGGAGCAGGAGCAGGAGCTGCGTTGGCTCGATTCGCCAGCAACGCCGCGCGCGACGCAGCGAGACGCTCTGCCAGCGCTTCACGGGACAGTCTTGGCTTGCGTGCAGAGCCAGGGTCGACTGGTTTGGTGCGCGTCGTTGAGGCGCCGCTGCTTGAGCCTGAGCTGCCTCCCGTGTAGCTGTAGCGAGCAGCAATCGCCGCAGCAGCCGCAGCAGACGAGGATGCCGGTGCTTGTCGGCCGCTCATTTGAGTTGAATGAGTGTTTCTTGGCGTGTGTGCGTGTGTGACCTTGTGTCTTGTGTCGATCGATCGAACAGAGTTTTTGTTTCAAGAAAAAACGAAAACGGGATTTGATTTTTGATTTTTTGGCGCCAAAACAACACAAAAATGTTGACTGAGCACAAACGAACTTGCCGACGTTTCCTGCCGTTGGATGCAATGTTACTGTGCATCTTTTATTGTGCTGGATTTCGACTTGCTTTCCAGGCAGCCTATTTGGTGCAACAGAATGGGGGAGCAGTCTAACATTTTGAGTTGAAACATGAGCCAAGTGCAGCTCAACCAGCAAATCACGACCAACATTGCCAACCAGCTCAAGCTGGTCAGTCAGATGGTCAGCACTGTGCGCAAGGAAGCAGTAAGTGTGAGCTCCACTTTGAGGCGCGGTCTGCTAGGCTTGGGTTGAATGGGGGAAAAGAAGCCGCCAAAACGCAACGTTCTCCAGTCGTCTCCCCCTCCCTCTCCCTCTGTCGCCATCTTCCACTCTTTCTAGTTCTTGTTCATCTTCCGCTTCCATGTTGTAGTTTGAGCGGATTGGACGAGCGACGGAGAGCGGGACTGCAGTCAAACTCCCGCGCTTTCACTCTTTTTCCCGCCATTTTTGCCTCCTTTGCTCCGATACTCTCTCATCCACTCTTTCAACCCCCCCCTTGCTCTTGGTTTTTTTGGCAGCTCGCATCCACATTCAACAGGTGCTCGGAGGTCGCAGTGGATCTGGCAACGCACGGCGGCGCAGAGGAACACCAGCAACGAGCGCTCGAGGAAGGCCAACTGTCGCTGCTGGCGTGCGAAGAGCGACTCGCCCACTTGATCAAGGTGCTGGACGACGTACAAAAGGAATGCCGTGGGGGCATGCGACCGCCGCCGCTGGACTCGTACGTGGAGGAGCGGTTGAAGGGCGTCGAGGCCTCTGTGCCGTACGACCCGGCCAAAGACGAGCGGTTTACAAGGTACCGCAAGGAGGTCTGGAAGGCAAACCCCGGAAGCAGACCCAACCCAGACCAGGAGGACGACACAGACCAAGAGCTTGTGGCGCAAGATTCGGTCGTGCCGGAAATCTGCCCGATTACAAAGTCCAGGTTGGTCGAGCCCGTGCGCAGCTCGAGGTGCACGCACACGTTTTCCAGAAAGGCCATCCAGCAGCTCTACCAGCAGGCAAAGAAGAAGCTCATCTGTCCCGTGCCCGGCTGCAACCAGGAAATTCGGCTAGAGGAGCTTGAAAGGAACATTGACATGGAAAAGCAATTGCGACGAACCGATATTCAACAACGCACTCAGCGTGCGTCCCAGTCGACGCAGCGCCAGGATAGTGACGACGAAGAGGTCTTGTCGTAGATGATGACGGCCGAGCTGAACGAGGAAGGTTGTGACGAGTGAAAAATGGTATTGTGTGTGAGTGAGGTTGTTGTGGTGTTGTTGTTGTGGTGGTTGTAACTAATTTCAAAGTAGGGTTTTTTTGATCGGTTCTTGGTTGTTGCTGCCGAGTTTGTGCTAGTGCAGAGGAAGAGGAGGGGGACAAAGGGAGTGGGGTTTTTTTTTTGGGAGGGGGGGCGAGCCGTTGAGTCAGCTGTCAAAGGGAAAAAAAAAAAAGGACGCTGTATTGGAGATGGGGATGGTGTCAACTCGGTGGGATGAAAGGGTGTTGTGCGGGATTTGTATCAGTTCACTTCAGTGAATGGAAATCAGTGAACGCAGCTCAGTCTTTTGGGTAAGTGTTGGAGTAATGCCCTTGCTTCACTCGAATCGACAAGGAACAACGGACGTTCAAAGGACATGCAATGAAATAAGAGTTGGACAACTACGAGATCATTGCAGGGCGTCTGTTCGTAGAGTGCAGGCGAGGAGAAGGGGGAAAAGGAATCAGCAACCCAAGTCAAACAAACTCCCCTCGAGTGGACAGCAGACATCGTTTGGCCCATTGAACAAGAGATTCACAGACGCGTACCCGCAGCCATGCAGTGAAGTGGTTCCGTTGAGCGCGAAAGCCAAAGCCTTTGCGTTTGCAAGCACAGAACGCCAATCCGCTTGCTGACCTGCTTGGCTTTGCCTCCTTCCTCCTCCTCCTCCTCTTTCCCTTCTGGCAGACACTGCTTGCAAATGGAATCTGAATCCGTGTTCAACCAGCTGCTCGAGTCCGAAAAGGAGATGGAGCGCAACTTTCGAGAGCTGCAGCATTGTGCGTTCATCTTTGTGAAACAGAAGAGTTTTCCCGCCAAAAGAAACAAATGGTTTCTTGATGCTGTTGCTCATGGGTGGGATTGTATGTGAATTGGGTGGTGGTGGGGAGCATAGTGCGAGAGCAGGTGGAGCAGGCGCGCGTGGACGCGGAGGAAGATGCGCGGAAGATGGAGGAGATGAGAACGACCGAGGCGAGCAAGCAGCAGGCGCACGTTGAGGCTATGGGCGAGCACATGCAGGCCAAGGCCATGTTTGAAAGCATGCAAGAGACGGTCAAGCAGAGCAGGAAGGCGCTCGAGACGGCGCGCGAGCGAAAGGTGAGAATGAAAATTGCTGGTGAAACCAACAGATGAAGTGATTGATTTTATTCTTCTGGAAAACTTGTACATGCACAAATCAGGGTCAAGCAGAGCAATTTGTCAAGCAAGAAAGGTAAAAAAAAACACATGAAACACAGCAATGAAGAGACATTCGGTTGAAAAGGAGGAGCAACATGAAGGAAAAAAAAAAAAAAAGAAAGGCGATTTCAATAGGCATTCACAAGAATTTGACAAATTGAACAGAATGGCTTGGAGAAACTTGCACCTTTGAGAAAAGCTTGTTCACAAAGGCGCGATGAGTGTCGGCAAAGTCGGAGGATGGTGCCATCAATTTGTACCTAGTAGACAAATGTTGTGAGGATACATTTCAATGCTCCGCAGTTGAAAGACTTAAATTTCCCTTACGCTCGCGTTTTGGTAATAAGCCATGCAGTTTGAGAGTCGGGATCCAGCAACAAATCTTGTATCTCGCTGCAGCGAATGGCTTGAGGTACTTGTGAAGCATTCTGAAAGGCGGCACGTCATGAGTATTCATTTTCTGTGTTTCTGGAATCAAGCAAGATTAAACGTACTTCACCAACGAGATAACCAGTAACGCTGCTTATTGATTGAAGCGATTCCCAGGAATGTGTGCCGTCCACACAATTTGCAGTGAAATCGGTCAAACACATGAAGCTGCCATTGGGTCCCGTTTGAAGGTATGGTTGCAAGCAAGGATCCCCTTCAGTACAAACAACAGCTTGATTCGAAGCTGCTTCGGTCGAGTCGTGCATGGTCACTCTTGTGGCATCATTTGCCTTGTACAAAAGCTCCCCAACGTCAGCATAGTGCGCGGTTCCAGACGCTGTTGCGTCAACATTAGCATAGATCACGGGGCTGCTGCTTGACTCATATGTAGGGTCTGAACTAGCAACGTTGGTGACACCAACATCCATATAATCGTGCCTTGTTGACCGACTTTCAGAGAAGGGGAGCAACACGCTCTTTGTCGCAGACCTGCGATGAATTCGGTACACGACAATCTATCCACTCACGAGTTAGCTTAAGAGCAACTTTGCTTAAGAGCAGCTTTTGGTCTAGGTATGCACTTACCACCACGATAATAGCGCCAGCGCCCAGAATGATAATCAATGCCAGGATAACGCCAACCACTCCATCGCTGTAATTTCCAAAAGCATCTCGAAGCCCGTCAAAAAAGGAGGAATCATCGCTGGCATCGCTTGGGGTTGAGAGGGAACTTCCTGCTGTTGATCAGACAGTCGAGTCAAAACGAGGTACTGATGACAGCTCTTTAGGTGAGCTTTCGATTGAACTCACCAAAAGAAACTGACGCTTGTGCCTGGCTCACGATAACCGAGCAGTTAGGTGTCGGGTGGTGGGCGTAAACTTCAAAATGGCAGGAGCAAGTGGAAGAAACGCCAGGTGCAGTGCTGTTTCTCGGCAACCGTGAGCCATTCTGTCCCAGTTAACCACTATCGGATTGAGAACACTTACCTGCGGAGAACAAAGGCCGAAACTCCAACGCTTGCACCAGAAAGGTAGATATTACCAGGAACTCCGACAAGGACGTATCCCGGAGTACATAGTGTCTTGACGACAGCTAGCGCAGGCTGTGGGATACAATGAGCAGCAACACGGGTCAAAGCTTTCAGAACGCAAATTCTTACAATGCCGGTGTTCTCGAAAGTAATCATCAGACGAGCCTGAGTCCGATTGCCATTAGTGTTTAGAACAGATGTGTCGACGCCATCAAGTGAAACATTTTGAACTGAAAGGCCTAAAATTGCCCCCGGACGCGTCAGATTGCAAGGAGGCAAAAAGTATCCCGCATAAATGGGAATTGATGAGACGCAGGAAACCGACTTTCCGAGAGCGCTCCAAAGTGGAAGACGTTGAACCGCAATCGTGGCAGTACACGAAGCGTTTGAATACGATTGATTGAGCGCGCTCGGCACGGAGACGGAGAACCTCACGCTTGTCAGATTGTTGACCGACGCAGCCATCATGACAGGGCTGCCTTGAACCATCAGCCCCTGGCAAGTTACCGTAATTCCAACGGCACCATCCGTTTCACCCAAATTTGTAAAGGAAACATCCAAAGTGCCTTCGTTTTCTTGGTACTGAACCACACTTGGCTCGAAGTCCAAGTCGCACCCAGGCGCGGCGGCAGCGGCAAGCCACCCGCTTCGCGACTGGCTCAAAAACGGCTCTTTTAAAACGACGTCGTTGGCAGAAAGACGAAGAGTCACGCTCAACGGAACAACTTGATAAACTTGAAGCTCAAGGGAAGAATTGTCGGGCTGCAATAGCGCGCGAGAGCAGAGACCAGTAGCGCACGAGACCGACCCCGCAAGTGCAGGATGGTGGAAGGGAGTGTAATTTTCAGCGGACCGACGAAGCTGAGAAATTTGGTTCTGAAGACATGAGCCAAATGGCAGATTGCAAAAGTTGGATTGTGCTGTAAAGGACTGAAACGAGACGCCGATCTGATTGCAGCTTGAGCCGATGAACTGAGCTTCTGTTGAGATTTGTTCAGAGCTCGACTGGAGCATGACTCGTTCAGAAATATTGGAAAACGCGCTCGCTTGGTATAAGCCTCGCACATCGAAAAACGTCGAAGGTCGAATTTCGGGAGAAGTCCACATTGTACTACCCAACGTACGCGGAACCACGGTTGTCACAGGTACACCTGGAATGCAAAGGCAGTTAGATATCTGTTAGATCGATCACAATTTCGCAGAATGATAAGCCTCCATTACCTTGTGCCAGTAGTGTCATTTGCACACCATGACTCGGCAAAAACTGGTTAATGTCGCTGACAGGTTGGAAAGCCCGAAAAGGTACTGATGTGTCTTGAACCAGTTGGTGATATTCAAGGGAACAGAATGGGCAGAAAGCTTTCCGCGCCGCACACCCAGAACAGTCCACACCTGTTTCTTGTCGAATAGTCCATACCTAAAACCAAAATGAATCAGCTCTCGTTAGCATGGAAGTCATCTCCTCAATGCTTCGTCATGTGCCTTAAAATTGCTGTACCGAGTTGAAGTTGATAAAAGTCGAAGTACCAGCTGAAAGATTTGCGAACCGAAGCTGAGCAGTTGACAAGCCGGACTCGTACTGCGAAGTTGTTGTCCAACTGTCAACATAGTCCCATGCCTGCTCTGGCGCAAGATTCAGCACAATTAACGTCAAACTTCCAGCTGAGGCAGCGTTAAGAAAAGTTTGGACTGTAGCGGACGAAACTGAAGTATCAACGAGTCCTGCCAGGTACGTGGAGTTTGCAATTCGACCACGAGACACCTCCATCGCATCATAGTAACGTTGTGTGTTGGGAATGGTTGGCACCACAAATTTTGTATCTGCAATCGATTGCAATTGTGAGCAAATATTAATCAGTTGTCTGACAAACCAAAAAATTTCGAGACATACCGTTACGTTGAATTGACACAACCCAGTCGCTTAAGAGCTCATACTCCACATCCTGATGGGTAAGCTTTATCGCACCAAGCGATGAACTTGCTGACCCCGAGTTTTGGATGTTAACTGAAATGTTCACCTGTGTTGTCAACAAACTTTCGAATTGAGCGATGCCCCTGCGCTTGCAAAAGCTAATTTGACTAGGATCACTCACGGCGAGCTCTTCGTTGATAGTGCCGGACCAGGTTGGACTCGATACCGGTGTGGACGGTACAGAACTGGCATCAACGAAGGAACAAAGCGAGGTCACTGGGGACGCGATGTTTGCTAAGCAAGTATCCGGCGCAACATTTTGAAGTCTGTACGTTGCTGGGGAGCTGAAAGGCAGGCTCTTGCCACTTTTCGTGAGGTAGAACACATCAGCTAGCATGAGGTCTGCATAGTAGTCACTGGCCGAGATACTCAAGCGAAATGATACAATCAAAGACCGGCCTGGCGCAGCCAAGTTTAGCGAAACAGCGGAAGGAAACGAAACGAAACTGTTTCTAGCCAATGAAATTGGTTTGCTGCCTGCCACAATGAAAATCTGATTTAAATTTGAACTTGACAACGATGACAGGGGAGTTAGCACGCCTCCACTCATCATGGAGACGTTGTGCGAAAAAGTAATTGTAAAGGCGTTGTTGTTCGTTGGACTGGTGTCGAGAACCACCCCAGATTGAGGTGCAACACTCTCAACATGAGGGCAACTGCTGTCCCAAGCAAGTGCAAGGTGACACCAAACGAAAAGGAGAATAAAATGTTTGATCATGAAAATGGACTGAGCTGGTTGCGACAGTGCATAAACGATTTCAAATGAAAAACGACGCAATTTGATTGGTCGGCCAGTTGACGTTGAGAACTGTCTTTCCAGATTCAAATTTGCTCAACTAAAGAGAATTCAACTTCAGTCTTTGTTATTAGAATTATGGAGTTGGATATTCTCCAGGAACTGAGCGAGCTTGAAGCTGGTATGGACTTGAGAGTGGGCAAATTGGCAATCCTTTGGGAGCTGGCATTCAATTTCTCGCATGTTGACAGACCAACTCGTACTCGGGTTGAGTTTCTTTGAGTCCAAAGCTGATAATGAGCAGGATTCGGTGGATATTGGTCAAGCCGCTTTGGCTATTGGCGATGCTGTACCGGCTTGGGCGGCAAGCGGCTATTCTGATTTTTGGGATGAACTCAGTCTTGCGTTGCAAACTCCGACAAATCGAGTCGGGTTTGCTTCGCATGATGTGACGGCTGCTCAACTGGATGTATGCCTTGCTCAAGAACGAGCTGCATGTGCAGCTTCCGAGACGCCCAGTCTGGCGGAGATTCGAGGACTGTTCGCATTCTTGGATATGCAATTGCTCAAGGTTCAAAACAAACGCGCCGAAATGCAGATTCGTCTGAATCCACTTTCAATATCAAATGTTGGGCAAAACGCAACCTCGGCGATTCATCAACAGGTCGCCCACCGCTTAAGCTCGTTAGAGTATCAGCTGAAACGAAAGGTGTACACCAAAGTCATCTTCCTGAAAAGTACGTTTCTGGACTCTCGGAAGCGTCGCATCAACCTCTCTCGAGAAGCTCAGCAAGTGCTTAACGATTGGTTTTTGGCTCATATTGAGCATCCTTATCCGAGCGAATCGGAGAAAGAACAACTTGCTGATCAAACAAATCTTACCATGAGGCAAATTTCTACTTGGTTTGCCAACAAACGCAACCGGCAAGCGCAAGATTAAGCGCTTACAATCCCATGTCAATAAACGAACTGTCCATCCTCCCCTGCTTTTTCCATTCATTCTCACGAAACTGTCTTGCTACACAAACAAGCCTGTGATTCATTGCAAGTATTCCACCCTCAAAACGCGTGTGGTCCAAAGAAGGCGAGTGAAACTTGAATCTTTTGAACACTCAGAACAAGCGGACAAGCGGATAGTGTTCACAGCATTGCACCAATTTCGCGGATGGTCGTCCCATCCTGAAACCCTGCCAGCACCTTGATGAGCTGAGAAAAGCTCGGTCGGAACTCTGGTGTTATGTTCCAGCAACTCATCATCATGTTGTAGAGCTCTGGCATGCAGGTTTCTGGCGGGGGCAGTCGACCACCAGCCTCCACATGAGCCAGAGTCTCACGCCCATCCATCTTGCCGTACGGGGTTGCGCCGTAGCTACAGCATTCCCCTACCAGTGTGCACCGCCGCAAGTGAGATACAAGAACAAACTTCAGTAACGCCCGACGCTACTCACAGGCTGTGACACCAAACGACCAAACGTCCGACATTGAAGAAAACTTGCGGAAGGTCATTGTTTCCGGTGCCATCCACTACAAATGCAAAGTTCAACAAAGTCAGTATCCCAATCACAAGCAGCAACATTTCCACACACCTTTGACCCACCTTCACAGGAAGTTTGCCACGAGTTTGCATTCGATAGTAATCGTCCTCATCGGCCAGTTGGCGAGAAAGTCCGAAGTCGGCAATCTTCACAACCATTCCTTGCCCAACCAGGCAGTTGCGTGCAGCGAGGTCACGGTGCACAAAGTGCAGAGTGCCCAAATACTCCATACCGAGAGCAATCTGGCGAATGACATGGACCTGCTCATTCTGGGTCCACTCGAACGACTGCTTTTTGGACTTTTTCAGAAGAGTGTGCAAATCGCCGTACTGCACAAACTCGAGCAGAACGAGATGGGGCTCTGACTCGACAAGAGCTGCATGCAGACGCACGACATTCGGATGCACAAACGGCGCCATCAGTTTCGCCTCGCTTTCAAAGTCTTGACGAGATTTATCATCCGCGTTAGACTTGAGAGACTTGACTGCAACCTGCACGGTTTCAGGCGTTGTAGGTCCGAGCAAGGTTCGTGCTCGTGGAGGCAACACGCTGAATGGCACCTGACCCAGTGCCACGTCGCCAAAGTTCCCGCTGGCAAGGTGCTTTACAATCGTCAAACCTTCACGAACGCGACGAGAATTGCTGCCGGCAACATACGCGCTTGCATAATCGTAGACCACCTCTGCAGCATCAGTCGAGAGAGCTTGGTACACAGGTTCTGGCTGCTTTTGGCCGACCACGGCGTAAGCTGCAATGTCCTCCGGTTTGTGAGATAGAATCGAATGGTTCACAGGCGAGATGTTCATTTCAATAGCCTCCTGATAGATTGGACCGGCAGAATCCTTCGGTCGTGCAGCTGAATGTGGTTGTGAGCGTCGGCGTCGCAGCACGATAAATACCGCAACTAGCGCAATCACTGCAACAGACGCTACAACAGCAGCGATGATGGCTGCTGAAGATGAAGCTGACTCTTGAGAACCATCGCCTTGTTGTGCTATGGACGATGCAACGGATGCAGCAGATGCCGATGCGGTTGAGGCAGCAGATGCCGATGCGGTTGAGGCAGCAGATGCCGAGAGCGCGGAGGTAGCCGAAGCAACGGAAGCGACTGAAGCGACGGAGGTAATAGATGCGTTGGTCGCAGCAGATGCGAGGCAGAAGCCACTCATCATAAAATAACCTTCATAGCACTGAGTGCAGGGATCGGATGAAGTGCAGGTCAGGCAATGGGTCTTGCAACACGCACTGGACCCAGCGGCATAGCAGGTGGCACAGACTGTATCACACTCTGAAGCACAAACATCAGCAAAGTGATCAAATTGGGAATTGTGGTCATCTCGAACTCTTACTGTATGGTTCCGATGCACTGCCGTAGGTGCTGGGCGGAGCGACAGTGTTGTCCCCAAACGTAAAGTTATTGGGGGCCAGATATGGGTTTGAATTCGACAACGCCAAGCCATTTGGCAACCCCTTGAACAGACCAGGCGGTAAAGTCGTGATAGGATTGTCATTCAAAGCCCTGCAGGTCCGAAAAAAGTAAGAAGCGAATCGAATGCGCGCAATGAGAGTTCATACTTACAGGGTAATCAGCGCAGTCAGGCCGGTGAATGACGAATCGGGAATGCTAGTGATCTGATTGCCGTCTAGATGCCTAAAGATGGAATCGCAAACGAGTGAGCCGTCTGTTCGTAGCCTTCCTGTCGATTGCTTGCTTACAGGTAAGTCAGGGCAGTAAGACCGGTGAATGAAGAAGAGGGAATACCAATAATTGCGTTGCTATCTAGAAGCCTAAAGATGGAATCGCAAACGAGTGAGCCGTCTGTTCGTAGCCTTCCTGTCGGTTGCGTGCTTACAGGGCAGTCAGCGCAGTAAGGTCGGTGAATGCGTCAGCAGAAATGCTAATGATCTGGTTGTTTCCCAGAGACCTACCGATAGTGTCAGAAACGAGTGAGCTAATTGCATGGTTCATGTGTTTGCTTGCTTACAGAGCAGTCAGCGCAGTCAGGCCGGTGAATGCGCCAGCAGGAACGCTGGTGATCTGGTTGTTTCCCAGAGACCTACCGACGGAGTTACAAACGAGTGAGCCGGTTGTACGTGATACATCATGTTTGTTCGCTTACAGGTGAGTCAGCGCGGTCAGGCCGGTGAATGCGTCGTCGGGAACGCTGGTGATCTGGTTGTAATCCAAAGTCCTAGCGATAGAGTCAGAAACGAGTGAGCCATTTTGTGAGTGGTTCATCATGCTTTTGCTTGCTTACAGGCTAACCAGCGCAGTCAGGCCGGTGAATGCGTCGTCGGGAACGCTGGTGATCTGGTTGTAATCCAAACTCCTACCGATAGAGTCAGAAACGAGCGAGCCGTTTTGTGAGTGGTTCATCATGCTTTGGCTTGCTTACAATTCAGCCAGCGCAGTCAAGCCTGCGAATACAGATTCTGGAATGCTAGTGATCTGATTGCGGTGCATATACCTAAAGATGGAGTCATACTGTATGAAGTGGTGGTGCGTGGTACATCATATGTGTTCGCTTGCTTACAGGTTAGTCAGCGCAGTCATGCCGGTAAATGCGCCAGCAGGAATGCCGGTGATCTGGTTGTGAAGCAGAGACCTATTGACCATGTGCCAGTCAGTCAGTCAAAGCTGTCATCGGCCAAGGTTGGGATGTAATTCTTCAAGTTGAGAGTCAGCAGCACCAAAACCCAAAATAGGAAGGCCGAGACAAGTGGGAAGTTTGTCCACATTGTCGCTGCTCAATCATAGTCATACATGCACACTCTCGGTTGGCTGGAGCAGCCAACTTTGTGACAGGAGCACCGTCTGCACTCACGCATTGGAAGGTGTCAAAGAAAGAAAGAAAAACAGCGACCGACTTTGGTGGTTTTTGCCAATCACTTTTTCGCGCCGTTTTTTTGTTGCAACGACGAAATGAGCACTCAAGCGAGATGGATGAAACTGAATGTAAGGGCTCACGTCCTGCGACTTGGCTGCTGTCTCCGTATTTTGTGTTGGGTGACGAATGCACCATTCATTTCGAAACCCAGGTCGATCAGCTGCATGCCGAGCTGACCAAGCGCAGCCTCGCGACAACCGGTTACAAGAAAGAGCTGGTGCAACGTCTCATGGCTTTTGAAGCGCACTTTGCCAGTGTCAGCAACTCGTCGTCAGCTTCAGCATCAGAAGCAGCAGCACCACAAACAAATCCGAACACTCTCTATGCTGCGAACAACCGCACCTCGCCCGCCGCACCGCTCACTCAAGCATTCGAGCCGCCGCCTCGACCGCCGGCAGGCACCACATTCACTGTGTCCAGTTCGGACTTGGAAGGCATCACTATTCCAGACGAGTTTGATGAAGTCGGAATGTTTGGAACCTTGAGCTTTCGATCTAATCGCTTCTTCCTTGATCGTCAACCCCCTCAGGAAGCAACGGTGCTCTCCAATCATACTCCTTGGAACGATTGTTTTCCGATTTGTCGATCGTCAGCTGCGATTCAAACCGAGGCAGCCAACTGGCACGACCCTTTCGCATCGCTCACTGGATCTACAAGTTGTTTCGAAACATTTGCCTTTGTTGTTTTTTTTTTTTGTTTTTTTTTTTTTCAAACAACTACACCCTCCAACAAAAACAACACCCCCACAACATCCATCTTCAACTCGCTCCAACTCCGTCTACCACTACTACTACTACTGCTGCTGTTGCTGATCCGAGTTGTGCGCGGTCGCCTTGGCGTCCACCATCTCAAGCAAGAGCTTGTCGACATTTTCCTCCCACTTGCCGGGCATGGGCACTGCGCGACGGCGTTCAATTTCGCTCTGAATCCACGCCTTGAGCACGGCCTGCTCGCGGTCTGCCTTCTTGCCGCCGCAGCCCCAAATCTCGATGCGCTCCACCCGATGCGAGGTCTCGCCCTTGGCGAGCATGGACGGGCCGTAGCACATCATGCATGGGTACCTCCTCGACGCGGTGCGCAAGTCCTCCTGCACCCAAGCGACAAAGCCCGTGGCGACGGACGACACTGTCGAGCCGGCGCCCGTCTGCACGGGAAAGCCGAGGCCAAACCCATGGCGTTGGCCCCTGAACTTGTCATTAAAGTAGACGCTTCCAGCGGGCGACGTGTTCTTGGGCTGGCCCGTTGCCACCTTTTTCGTTGCTGGCCAGGCGCAGCACACGTGCGCCTGAGGAAGCAACTCGACGAAACGAACCTTTTCGCCGCCCCAGCCGGACGCAGCGTCCTGCCACTCGGCGTCGGTCGCGATCGCGATCGTTTCCCCGCTCGTCAAGTAGACAATGGTCAGGGTGGGACTGGTGTAACCCGTGACATGGTGGTGGAGTCGGTTCATGCTGACGCCGTTGAGTTCGCTGTCGTACAAGCGCTTCCATTCAAAGGACTGTTCGTAATTGTTCTTTTCGCGCTCAATGGCCGCGTCCAGCTCCACCTTGTCCTTGCGTTGCTGCTCGAGCTCTTGCTGCTTGATTTGTTGCAACTGCTGCTGCAGCAAACGGCGCAGGGCTTCCTCGTCGTCCTCGGCCATGGCCTTGATTTGATCGAGCGAAAGGGTGGCGGTGATGGGACCCGGAGCAGCAGCAGCACCACCACCACCACCACCAGCAGCAGCAGCAGCAGAGGCATGGTCTGCGGCTCGCGTAGCGACGGCGGGACGGGTGTCGACGCCGGCGCCAAAGTAGATGGGTGGGAGGCTGCAAGCCAGCATCCAACGGTGTTCGAGCGTCAGAGGATGGGTGTTTTGCTTGCCATCAGTCTGGGTGCTGACTGACGGCATGATAAACGAGGGCGGCAATGGACAGGGAAAGAGGGAGAGTTCGTGACGAGCTGCTCGAGCCATCGTCCCGGCCTGCTTGGTCTGTGCCAGCGGCGTAATGTAGCGCTCTGCGCCTCGCACCTCCATGGCGTGCGCTTGCTGAGGGCCCAACACCTGGAACGCCAGCCAGCGTTGCAGCCGAGCAAACCAGCGAGCGCCGTTGTGAAGCGTCCACTGGACAAAGCGAACAAGCTCGACCTTGTCTTGCGCCGGGTCAAAGTTGCCCTCGGCCGCCGAAGCGCGATCGACAAAGCGCCACAGACTGTCCACCAAAAAGGACCAGCGCTGAGACGGGGTGGCAGCCGAAGGATTGGCGAGAGGTGCTTCCGGGACTTGATTGACGGGCAGGAAGGCGTGCGTCAGCAGCCAGTCAAACATGCTAAACATTTCTGCCAAGCGCAAAAAATGGACACGAGCAGGGGTGGTGGGAAGAGACAGAGTGAGCTGTGGAAATTTTTTCAAACCAAAAAAAAAAAAAAAAAAAAAAAAAAAAAAAAAAAAAAAACACGAATAAAAACCGGAACAGCGTCCATCCAGTACCTTCGCGAGTCGCCTCGGAGCGACCATCCATGAACAGCTTGAAAAAGAACGTGGAGGCAACTTCGACGTCTTGGGAGAGGGCGTGGCCGAGTGCTTCCACAAATTCAATGGCAATGATGGGCGTCCAAAACTCGTAGGGCTTGTCCAAGCGGCGATGGGGATGGCCGTCTTCCGGCAAGCGCGCCACCACTTCCGAGATGGTGTCTGCCATGTTGGCCAGTCGTGTTTCGGCCTCAATGTTGCCACGCGCCTCCTCCTTTTCGCTGAGCACGGTTTGCAAGCGGAGAACGGCGTATTCGCGAATGCTCAGCATGGCCGGCGCCACGACCTGCGGTCCCAAAACGGCGCCCATCGCTTGGTACAACTTGCGGGCAAATGTTCCATCGACGTCAGCCTTGAACTCGTTCTATGTGGTTTTGAGGAGTGCAAAAAAAAAAATTGTATGAGATTGAAGTTGTGAAATAGTAACGACGAGTACATCACCCAAGATTTTCTTTACCGCGAACGAGTCTGGGTTTTCTTGAGCAGATGCATCCGCTGACGTCGTCGTCGTCGTCGTCGTCGTCGTAGCAGTCGCAGTTGCCTCAGGAGTGGTGGTGGTGGTCGCTGAGGGTGCATGTGCGACATAGTCGAGGTGCTTGCTGTGGTCCCAGTCGAGCAGCACCGCGCCGTGCGAGAATCTCTGTCCAGTTATCAAATGTTTCAAGTTCCGAGGCAGCACCATAATGTGAGCAACAGTGTTTTGCTTTGGAGCCTCAGGGCTGGGAGGAGAGTACAGCTGGGTAACCCCCCTCTCGCCGCCAATCCTCACTCTCCTCACTCTGCTCCACCCCTCCCCTCCCCACCCCAACACTGACGCCATTACCGAGTAGGCCGTCACGAGAAGCGCCCGGAGTGCGGCTGGGCAGGGCGAGTCCGGGATGGTCGGCATGTTGCTGGTCGGCGACAGATTGCTCGGCACTGGAGTGACGGGCTGGCTTTGTGAGCTACCCATTGCTTTTTTTTTTTTTTTTTTTGCTGCGGAAGGTGTAGAGTGGAAGAAATAAGAGTGGAGCTTGAATGGAGATTGAGAAGGAAATTCAAAGGGAATAACTGAAGGGTCGGGCGTGGGGGGAAAGCTCAGGCTCAGAAATTGAAGTGCTCTGATCGGCTCAGAGCCCCTGCAGCAGCAGCAGCAGCAGCAGCAGCAGCAGCAGCAGCGCTCAGAGCCTCAACTTGCGGTCAAACCGTGCATCCGATATTCAGTAATTGCACTCCCAATCTGGCTCTCCAAGAGCAGGAGCTCGCTGCCAGAGATCAAAAAGTACTGTGCCTGACATCGAACTGTTTGAACTGTTGATCCATCATCCATTCATGCATCCATTCATCAATGTTGCAACTCTCACTCTTGTTTTTTTCTTTTGTCGTTTATCGTTACCATCTGTATTTATTTTCTGAGGTTGGTTTTTTCTTGTGCTTTTGCTGTATGATGGGCTCAGAGTCGACTGTTGCTGCTGCCGTTGCTGCTACTTTCCCCCTTCTCCGTTCTGGTGCCACTTTGTGAAGAGGGTTATTGATTTTGTGAGCCATTTCCACATCCTCACCACATCGCGAAGGTCTCCAATCGTGGGATGAACAGCCAAACGAGCGCGCTTACGGTTGTTCGTTGCGCAAGAAGGGAAACGCTCTCAGATCCCAGCGGATCACCCCCGCCCGACACAGCAGCCGATCAGAGTGGAGCAAGAGTGTGCTGATCTTGCATTGAGTACGTGCTCAGCAGCGTGGCAGCAGCGCAAAGAGAAGGCAGAAGGGCAATCAAGGTGCCATTATTCGGTCTCAGTTCACTGCTCAGAAAGCCTCGTGTTCAAAACAAGAGATACTCGGATTCAGTGAAACATGCTCGTATATTCATGCAGCAAACAAGCATTTGATTGTACTTTGGCGGGTTGCGAGATCTGACCTCCTCTTGTTGCTTTGCCGAATTGTCTGGCCTACAAAAACTCAGAACAATCTCAAACGATGCTCAACTACGAGCGCATGTCGGATCGTCAACAGCAATGCTACGATCGTCTCAAGCAAGCAAACGGCAGTATCGAGTAAGCCAAACAACAACCGAGAAACAACCAAGAAACATAGCTGAATTCTAACCAAATCACGCATTTTTTCGTCGTAGCCTCTCAGAGAATCGCATCGGAGATTCGGAAATACAAGCTGTCACTGCTGCAACGCAAGCAAATGCAGAAATTCTTCAACTCAGGTGAGGCAAACACACGAAAAGTACAATCTGCTTCGTCAATTCGCAGTCTTGCTCAAACACCTCCCTCTGGCTCTCCCTGCAGACTATCCCGGAATCGAATCTCCGAAATTGGTGCCCAACAACTTGCTGCCTTGTTCAAAAATACCGCGACACTCACCCGCATCGAGTAAGTCGGCCTTCTTTTGCAAAACGCTCCACCAACAACCCGCCTCACCAAACATCTCTCGTCTCTGGCATTTCCATCCTTAGCCTTGACTCCAACCAAATTGGTGATGCTGGTGCGCGTCAGCTGGCCTCTGCTCTCAAGTCCAACCTGACAATCACCTGGCTCGAGTAATGAAGCGCTCTCCTTTTTTTGTTGTTTCTTGCTGTAAAAGTTAAACCTGCCATCGCTCACTCCCCCCCCCCATATTCCAGCCTCTCTCACAACCACGTTGGAAACGCTGGAGCCAAAGGTCTTGCCAATATGCTCAAGAGCAACTCGACCCTCACCCATTTGCTGTAAGCAATTGAAAAACTTGGCACCTTCCGTTGTTGCTGGGCCTCCTGACTCACTACCTCTCTTGCACACGACTAGCTTGGCTTCAAATCAAGTTGGAGATCCCGGCGCACAAGCCATTGGTCATGCCCTCGGCACCAACTCTCGGCTTCAGTTTCTCCAGTTGAGTATCCTTATCGCTTCGTT